ACAGCCCCCCCTTTGGCGCATTCAAAGTTGACCCCTTCGTGTGGTTTTTGCCCAGGTGTCAGGCCGGCCCACAAAGAAAGCGGGAATAGGCACCCGCTAAGAGATATGACCCCTTCTTGTCCTACAAAGTCGTCATGACTACTTTGTCACAGACGGTGTCTTGGTACAAACCGGCAACCAACCCCCCCCCCCTCCGATGCCCATCACTTGGCCAGGCCGGTGACAGGCCAAAAAAAATGTACACTTGTTGGGTCACTACTCAAATAAAGGGAGAGCCACAAGGAAACAAAGTGCAAAAGTGTGTCCACAGTCAACAACGGGTATGCCTTTTTTCTCCGGTGGCTGTTGCTCCCTCTGCAAAAACTCAGTTGTTCAGTGACCCTGGAAAAAAAGGGAACCCTTTTTGGGGAAGACCATTTTTAGTGGGGCAGCCATCGACAAAAAGTGCCACTGAACAACTGAGAAAAGCTTACCTCTGTGTGGGTGCAATTCGGAAAACCTTTTCGGTGTCAGCCAAGTTGATCCGATACCCAACGTCGTCCGATACCAAATAGCCGTTAAGGAATGGTTCATTCGATGTAATTCCATCTTGCTGGTGCTTGGAATTGGGAAATTGGGAGCCTGGGGATTCCCTCAAAGGAAACCACGGGGGAGGGTTTTCTTGGGGTCATTCCCTCCTTTCCTGCCTATACCAGCAAGTATGGGCACCCCATCTGCAAATACTACTCTTCTAGGTCCTCCAGTAAAGAGGTTAGGATAAGGGTACCCTTTTTCTGTAGCCCATTAACCCTCCCAACCAAAAAAGGGGTTAACAAGGGCACCTAGCTGGGGGACCCAGTCTTAGTCCAAAAGCTGACTTAAGAATCCCCAGGACCTTCATGGTGAGCTCGGCAAATCCCCCAGCTCATCAGGTTTCGTTCCGTGTCTCCCGCCTGGGCCACAGTCTTGGTAAAGCCTTTGTCGCAGGTCAGCAGCGCCAAAGGGGCCTCCAGCTGGCGGATCTCTGCGTGGATGGCCTCGTCCTCAAGAAGCTTTTCGGAGTGGATCTGTATGCTTTTTTGAGGTGGTAAAGGTAAAGCTAGTGAGGCTGGTTTGTCTGTTTAGAATTGGTACGACATGGTGCAACTTGTTAAGGTTGGTTTGTCTTTTTTGAGTTGGTAAAACGTTTGGAGGTGAGTTTCAAGGTTGGAGGGTACCCTTTTTAAGGTTGGTGTGTCTGTTTTGTTGAGCAGGCGGATTTTAAAGGAAAACTCATTATTTCTAGAGATTCAGCTTCACTCTAGTTGGAGCCCGGTGGTTTGGTCTGGTGTTCCGCTGGCCTCCCAAAAAGCACGACCCATTCTGACCTGAAATGTAGAATCTAGCCCCCCCGGACATAGAACCCATGTTCCTTTTCAGCACCCTGTGCAGGTATTATGATTGCTGTTGGGAGGCTACCTCAACCTCTTTCTTTCAGGGTGCCTTTGCTGAAACAACAAAGCCGAAAGGACACTCATCATTTTGGCGGCCCCCTAAAAGAACACTCACACCCATTTACCTCAGGTAACAAAGGAAACCATTCTCTTGAAACTAGGGCAATTGACCCCCAGGCGAGCTCTTCCAACACTAGGCCCACTAGGCCACCACAATTGAGTGCTCTCCTTTTGCATTTCCCTTCCAAGCGCCAACCAAAAACCCATGTTTGGACGCACCAAATGAGAATGGGGTCGTGCCATAGAATCAAACTCATAAGAAAATGACGCGCGTAACTCTTTGCTCCCTAAAAACAATCATGGGACATGTGAGCCAGGGTTGATCCAAAGACACGGTCACGAGGGTGTAAAGTCGACAACGGGGCCTTGCTCAAGAGGATGGGTCTCAAGGTGAACTCGCTGTGGGCCAGTCCCCTGCAAATTGACGTGACTCAAACTGTCAAAGGGTATCAGCCAACTTCCATCTGCGAATACGCCTTCTGGAAAAATGATTAAAAGATGCCAGTGCCAGATTCCCTCTAAAACCAACAGGGGGAAATGAACAAAAACGAAACGCACGTGGAAGCCAAGGGAAGGATGGCTTGGTGGGCTCCATGCAATTTATCTGCAGCCAGGTAAGCTGCAGGGCTGTGATCGGGTGTGTCTTGTTTAAGACTTAAGACCCCCAAACTGTTTTTGGTATTCCTTGAAAACCAACCACGAGCTTCCCCCCAAACAGGCAAATCACACAAAAACCAGGCAAAAAAAAAACACTCCCCCCCGAAAAAAAAAAAAAAAAAAAAAAGAGAAAGAAACAAAAATAACAAGCACCAAACAAAAACAAGAAACACGCCCAAGTACCTGTTTATCCTCGTCCGAGGCTCTACCGGCTGGCCTTCGCGCCGTTGTCGCGGCACCGCGCGCAGCTCCACCGCCGTCTCCGCGTTCTCCGCCGCCAAAAGTCGCCGCAGGCGCTCGACGCGGCGCTCGGTGCCGGCGCCGAAGACGGTGCAGCGCGCGCAGCGCCCCAAGTGGGCCACGGCTTGGGCCGCGGACTCCGCGCCTGAGACCGGAACGAACCGGAGAAAGCCACAAGTCTGGCCCAAAAAGGATTTCACACGCAATCAAGGGAAACACAACAAGAAGTCTTAACAAAGAAATGGTTGGAAACAAAGACTGGGTTGACAACAAGCAAATGGTTGAAGTTGGCGCATTGCTTGGTGTCGCCCACTTGCTCAGATTGTATTTGCCAATTCTCGCAGCACCTTGTTTCGTACGTTGCCATCTGCTTCCCAAGCGTTTCCCCCCTCTTCCGTTGACTTTCGCTTGCGCGCTGTCCATGTCATGGGGCCGTTTGGGGCCGTTTGCATACAAACATATTCGTTGCTGGCAACAACGTTCCAGCCTTTGAGGACATTATCACCCAATCCAGAGACTTGGTTGTTTATGTTGTTTATGTTGTTTCTTGTCAAGCTTTGACTCTTTCCATTGCTCCTTTTGCAGGTCCATGTAGCCCAGTATGGGTCTTGGGCTTGCTGCAAGGGAGGTCAATTACAGATTCCTACTGTGGATGCACAAAATGCGCTTCGCACCACTTTGAAACCATTAGATGTCTTTTTGCAGGGGCACCACCATTCCAGGTTTTATTTGCTGGTGCAGGATTTCGTCCATCCACAGTATCCGCACACGTTGACGGTTTCCAGTATGCTGATGAGGCCGCAGGTCGAGACATTCGCCTCTGACGCCTTAAGGTGGAACTGGAAAGCTGTAGGGCGCAGTTCCTTGATTGTTTAAAATCCAGCCGCGAGATTTTCTCCAGCTGGAGGCCTGTGATCACTCGGACCCCGAGCCAACTGAATCTGCCGGCTTTCTCCAAGTTTCCCACGGCGTCCCCATCCACCAGCAGCACCGCGTCTCCAAGGCTCCGGCGCAAAAACGGGAAGTGCCTTCGCGCCGCGGCCCGCCAAGGGCGTCCATGGCGCAGCGCGAGCATGCGGAAGGCCCCGAAAAAGGACCCGCCAATTCCTTGAATCCTGGCTGAAAACAACGAAACACTTCAGAAACCTTCAGAAACCTTCAGAAACCTTCAGAAACCTCAAGCCTCATCTGTCACTTCCCGATGGAAATGGGCACAAAGTTCACTATAAGGAAATCGTTGATGGCTTCTGTGGTCAGCCAAGTGTAGCTTGTACTCGTCATTCATAGGCATGAAATATGCTGGAGCCTCCCAACAAATAATTACAGCACTGGCATTGCTTGCTGTTGACCCCTGCAAAAAGTTTAACTTTTTTGGGGTTGAGTGGAAAACCCCTTTATTTCCCAAAAAGTTAAAGTCTAAAGATCCAACCCAATAGCAAACAAGTGGCACTGCTTGGCCTGCAAATGCAAATGTCTTGATACATCCGGGCACGCCGATCCCCATCTGGGATGTTGCTGGCCTCCCTCACTGCATCTCGCTGCCAACTGTGGGCATAAGCGTCAAGAAGCATCAATAGGCATGAGCATCACAAACTGGAATTCAAGAAACGGTCAACTTGTTCAAAAGCAACAGCCGCAACAGCTTTGCATTTCTCGGTTGCTTTCTGCTCCCCCGCCAAAAGTTCAACTTTTAGTGGTTTAATGGAAGACCCATTTGTTGGCAAAAAGCTAAAGTCCTAACATCCCTTGGCAAAATGCGCCAAAGAATTGAATGTTCTGGACACAACCTGGCTTTTCACAGCCCAGACCGGGTAAGATTCGGCGTGGCTTTCTGTGAGCCGACATGCGGAGGCCCTGACACCTGCAACCGATCACAGGCCTCCTGCTGGCCCTGAGCTCCGTGCATGTGCGGAAGGCAACAGGCTTTTTCAGCAACCCATGCGTGAATGCAAAGAGGAACTTCCAGCTTGGCAGGTTTGTTGCTAAAAGCTCCACAAAAAACCTGAGAGACAGCATGCAGTCTATGAACACAGTCTCTATACGCAAGATGAAACATATTCTGCAAAGCAAGAATCCAAGCACAAGGTTGGTGAGTTCTGTCTCATAGCTTGGCATTGCCAAAACGACAGAAGTGCTTGCCTTTTGAGCGCAAGCGGTACGTACCCAACACAAACTTCCTTGAAAGTGGTGGACACGGGACCCCAGAACCGTATCTTAAACATTGGATGAAACTGTCATGGAGCCTAAAAGGGGGGCTATGGGGAGGGGGGCTATCATTGATTAAGCCCTTAATAGGGCCTTATGAAGGGCTTACTGGGCTTGTCCTCCATAGCCCCCCCTTGTAGAACTTGTGCGGCCTAAAAGTCACGCTATAGCTGACCATCTCAACTGGCAGCCATCAACTGACATTGAAAAATCTTGTGGCCCGGGGTAGCCCGAGGTTTCGCGTCACTCGCCAAGTACACCAACTAAAGCTTGGTTGCTGTTGACCCCCCTGCAAAAAGTTCAACTTGTTGGGGGTTTAGTGGACCACTCCTTGATTTCCCAAAAAGTGAAAGTCTAAAGATCCAACCCAATAATTAGTCGAGAAAGCCGCAGGCAGCGAGGCCAACATCGAAATGGCCAAGACTCCACAGGAGGCGTATGTCCATTTGTGCTCTGCTCCATCTCCTCAACCTGGCCATGGGGCGGCCCATAAGAGAACCCCACCAATGCCAAAGCAAAATTGTCACAAGGGGACCCTTTTGTTGTCAAAGGGTTTCCCAAACAAAAGTTGAAAGGGCAACAAAGGCTCAAGATTCAGCTTGCCTTCAGAAACTTCGCAGTAAGTGTGCGCCAGGAACGGCAGGGCGGAACTGAGCCTACCTTTTCTGGAAAAATGCCAGATTGCCAAACAATGCCAAATCAATCCTCACTTCCTGAGTGGTTGGCAAACAAAGTCCAAGCTTGGCCTCTTGAATGCAAATGCTTTGCCATGGGTCCTTGCACACAAGCGGTGTGCGCTGCGAAACAAAAATGGGGGAACTCTACGGGTAGCTTCCATTTCCATTCTTTTCCAGGGATCCTTATTTTCTGACTTTCCCCCCCCCAAGACAAAGAACCAACATGATGAAGGACAACCACCCCGCCATTTTCTGACTTTATACCCCCCCCCGCAAACAGAACCAACATGAGAACCCGGAAGTCCTGACCATTTGGGGTTTGCGTGTGAGGCCATGGGTGTTCTTGACCCCGCCAGCTGCCCGCCGACTGCCCAGTCCTCGTAACGAACCTCGGCGTCTGATTCGGCCGCGGGAGGCAGCTTCTCCGCCAGGGCAGCCCACATGCCTTCGGACCAAGGATCCTCGGCCGAAAAGGAAAGGAATTGGAGTGGGAAACGGTTTCTAGGTATTTCTAGGAATTGGAGTGGGAAAACGCTGTGAAATCCGTCGGTTCTTGGACATGTTGATTTGGGATCACTCGACTGGGCTGCCCGTTTTCAGATCCCAGCACTAAAGACTAAAAGGTGGAAAAGCTAAGGAACCGGATGGCTGGGAGCCACCGAGGTAAGGACTTGGAGTGGGGAAAGGTTTGTACCTGGAGTCTTCAGGGCCTTTAAGAATGGGGTCATTGCCCAAAATTACAATCTTATTACCCCTTTTTCTAGGGTCATGGAGACTCCAGGTAGGGGTAGCTTCCCCATTCTTTCCAGGGATCCTTCTTTCTAGAAAACCGCCAAAAACTCTGGGGAAACAGCTGGTTTTTGAAAAGAACGATGGCTGAAAAGAATGGGCCGGGAAGGCTGAGAAAAAATGGTCGGGGGGAAAAAATGGTCGGGGAAAAGGTTGGGAGAAAGTTGGGAAAGGGTTGGGAAGGTCGGGGGAAAAGATTGGTCGGGGAAAAGGTCGGGAGAAAGTTGTGAAAAGGTTTGGGAAAACAGTTAGGGACAAGTTGGTTCACAGGGGAACAAATGGGTGGGGGGGAAAAATGGGTGGGGGGGAAAAATGGGAAAAAGGATGGAAAACGTTAAGGGAACAAGTTGGGAAAAAATGCGTCGGGCCGTTGATTCGCGGGAAGCTCGAGGCGTCAGTCCATAGACTCCGAGCCTTCGGAACTTCGGAGCCGCTGGGCACTTCGAAAGCGGCTGGCCAGACGTTTTTTGGATCCGCGGGGAAACTCAAAGGCCAAGACTTTGAATGGCGGGCTCGGACCTTCGCGCCGGAAAAAAAAAAGAGAGTTATGACACACTGAAAAGAAGAACGAAAAGAAGAACACTGAAACACTGAAAAAAAGAGAGTTCTGAAACACTGAAAAAAGAAGAAGAAGCAGACAAAAAGAAGAACAAAACAGGACGTCCCGGACTCGAAGCCTTTACCCGACTCCATGCTCGCGACCGAAGGCGTCTCTCCAAGCAATTTCGCCAAGTCGCAAGCTCTTGCTCCATGCCTCAGATTCATCCCCGCTCATTCAAACCATCCAAAAGCCCCCCGTTTTTTGAGAAAGAAGATTGATCCGCTTGGCCCAACGTCTTGTGCTAGGCTCTTTGGGCCAACCCTGCGGACGCGCCAGGCAGCTTTTGCCCATGCGGCAAAACGGAGGCCACCGCCTAAAGTTAAAAGGCATGAAAGTGATCCGACAATGGGTTCGCCTAAGACGTGGAAGATCTCTCGTTGGAACATCTTTCTGAGCGCTGGAACATCTTTCTGAGCATGTCTAAATTTCAATGCGAAGCTGGGAAGCCCTACAACAGCGCAACAGCAACCCGATGCAATTCAAAATTTGAGTGCGAATGAGCTGATCCAGATGAGGATGAAACCGATGAAACGGAACCGACCAATTGGCGTTTGCCCGCAACGGCACAGCCACACAACAAACCCAATGGAAAAGCCAGCTGCCCGCCGAGTAAAACCACGCGGTTGCCTGGGTAATATTGTCCCCAGACCAGGAAGGCACAAGGAAACCTTTCGATTTCGGGATGCCAAGCCGATTCTTATTTCAGGTGCCCTTCTTGGCGCTTTGCTGTTTGGGGGAAAGGGTTTCCGAACTCCATGGCGAACAACTCCCCCCTCCCTCCAGACCCCCGCAGGCCAAAAAGGATCGAACACACACACACACACACACAAACAGCTGCGCCCCGCGGCTCGGGTTCAGAGTCTACGTCCCGGGAAAAAAGGGTGAGAAAAACAAACAGAAAAAAAAGAGGGGGAAACAAAAACCAGCCGGCGCCACCCCGAAAACCAAATGCAAGTACACAAAACCCCAAGCGCCGCGCCGCGCCCGCGCCGCAACGCGCCGCAACGCGCCCGTGCCCACGCCACTGCCGCGGGGCCGAAGTCGTGCTGGTCATCTCCCAGGCCCAGGCGCCAGAAGGCCGTGGCGCCCAAGCCCTGAAGCCGCACGAAGAGCTTCCGCGCCTTCGCTCGCCGTGGGGTGAACTCGTTCAAGGCAGGCGTAGCTGGAGTCTCCGTCAATGACCCCTAGAAAAAGGGTCAATGACCAACCATGATTTTGGGTAATGACCCCGGTTTAGGGTTGGTTTGAAGTTTAAGGTTTAGGGTGTAGGGTTTAGGGTAAGGGTCAATGACCCCATAGTTGTGAGTGATGACCAAGCATTTTGTTATTCGGGTCGATAAGAGGCTCCAGGTATAAACCATCCAAGTGGCTTCCTCTAAGCTGAAGATCCGGGTTCATTCATTCAAGGCTGAGCAGCCAATTGAGAAGAAATGCAATAAACTGAGGCATTTCTGTGATGAAGGTCGGCCGAGGTGGTCCGATTTTTAGGAAAGTTTGAGCGTGAGCGTGAGATCCAATGGTGTTGTCGGAAACCGCGCATGGGGGTCGCCTAGGCGATAAAACCAAGTGCAAGACAAGAACTTGGTTGCTGCAACGACCCCAGTGCAAAGAGTTGCCAACTTGTTGTGTGAGGCTTCCCCAAGAAGTCACAGTCTGAAGATCCAACCCAATAGCAGGCAAGCTGCTATGAGATCTATGACAAATGAAACCCTTCATCATCGGGGGCTGGGTGGGGGGTTGGGGGGGAATTACACTAGTCGATGCGCCAAGCACCCCAAAAAAAAGTTCACTTTACCAAGGGAGTTGGAAGCAAATTTGCCGTGTGAATGCCCGGTTTGCTTATCCTTGCGTGAGCGCGGCCGTGATTTGGATGCCGGCCGATCATTCTGTCTCTTCTCCTCTTCTCACCGGCATCCTCCCGTCCTTCGCTTACACCTGTTTCCCACGCAAACACCCCTCAAAAATTGACGCCCATGAGCCCGGAACACCAACGAACTGACGCATTTGTACCAGACGCCTCCGCCACCTCGGCCTCCACTTTCCCTATAGATTTCTTCCACGCTCCCTATACTCCGTTGCTTTCTGCTCCGCTGCTAAAAGTTTAACCTTTAGTGGTTTAATGGAAAAAAACCCATAAGTTGGCAATAAGGTGTTCAGTCCCAACATCCCTTGGCAACATGCAAAGTATAGGTAGATTTGAATGGCCAGAAACGACATGACTGGAACCAAACACCTCCGAAGCCCATGGCTTGGCTTATTCGCCGGTCCCGCGTGCCGCTGGCGCAAAGAGCAACGAACTGGGGTTTCCCGGCGGCGTAGTTGAACTCGCGGTAGCGGGTGTCCCCGAGGCCAAAGACAGTGAAGCTGAGGCCCTGCAACAGCCTGGGCACTCGGCGTAGGCGGCTTCTCACCGGGCTGTGGGCCAAGACATTTATGGCTTTTTCGGGGTTCGCAAGCAAGTCTAGGTATTTCAGTGGAGAGGCTGGAATAAGGGTACCCGAATGTACCCGATTTTTTTCCGTGGTCGGTAGGGGAACAGAAGGGCTGGGGGACCTTGAAGTGCACACAGCAAGTGCGTTAGGAAGATGTAAGTTGACCAAGAAAGCAATTCAGGCAGTGGTGGTGGGCGTGGTGGTTTTTGTTGGTCACCATGGTTCAGGAAGCAACTAGTACCGGATAGCAACCCTGCAAAACATGTCCATTGGCAATGACACTGCCACGCAGGCCACGAAGCGACGGCTACCCCAGCAACTCCAAAGGACAAGTTAAACGGAGCCTGTTTGATAAAAGTGCTGCATTTGCTGGGAGCTCTAGCATGAGTAAACGAAGGGTGTCTTTTCACGCTGTCTTCACGGTCTTTCACGGGTTGCTCACGCACCTTTCGCAGTGTTGAAAGCCAGCCTCTTGACAAAACGCAGGTTAAACGGGCACTTTGCGAAAGTGCCAGTTAAACGAGCACCTGGGAGCGCTGGGTATTGAAAACGTCCTCCCAACCGTAACCAAACGGAGGTGCCTGTATGCTTCCCGAACTACCAACCACCAAGCAATAATCCAAAGTGACGTGAACAGAAAACAACACTACATTTGGGAACCCTCACGTAGGGGGTGGTAAGCACTCAAGGCTGTCATAGGCTGTGGAAGTAGCATCTGTCGCGGGCCACCAAGGTCCCTCAACATCCAAACCTTATCAACATCCATACACACGGCCGCATCCAATTCTCTCTCTCTGTCTCTATCTCCTTCCCTCTCTTTCTCTCTCTCTCTCTCTCTCTCTCTCCCCGCCGCTGAAGGGTCTTGACTCGCATCCACCTGCACACTTTCTGTGTAATTCTAGCGATTTCATTCTTCCATGAATGCAACCGTCTTCTTCCACAGTGTGCGTGGTGCATCCAATTCCGAGCCGGGGCACGTAGCCGGCAGGGTGGCACACAGCAGCTCTTGCCAAAGCCGGCGCATGTTCATTGGCGGGTCGCCTGCGCGGGCTCCCTCGGCTGGGCCCTGAAAAGATGGTTGCCGAAGTGGGCTTTTTACGCTGACAGAACTTGCTTTGGCCAAGTGGCCAAATCTCAAACCCGCTCTTCAATCATGGGCCGCAAGTAGACTTCTATTAGCAGGCGACGCTCTCAGCACCTATATCAGCCAAGATAACATGCGGCCCACAAGTGCTACCCAGCCCGGTCTCGCCTTGGCCGGTGGTAGAGACGACGAAGACTGCAAGCCGGACTTTGCACAACCTCGGCGCAGTCGCTCCGGAGTTGCTGCCAACTGTCAGTGGGAAACGACCACTTCTGTGATACAACAGAAAGGGTTTCCCAAAAACCACCCCCCCATATAAAGAGGAGATTCCCTTGTATCACAGAAGTGGAGATAAACCCCTTGATCCCACAACCCTGATTTTGCTCGCGGGGTGCGTGTTCAGGCCTGCGAAAGTGTAGGGCATCTGGCACCCTCTCCAACCTAAGAGTTCCAAAGTGAAGCGAAACAACTTCGGCTGGCGAAGACTCGCCAGCCAAACGGGGGGCGCCGTTGGGAGACTGCGGGCGTCGGCGCGGCTGGGTGGAAAGTGCGCGCGTTGGAAACTTCGGGGCCGAACAACTCATTTGATGCTGACCTCATGTTGAACCAACCTTCAGAAAAGGCTGGCCTCAAAAACACAAGCCCAACTGGTTGCTGACCACGGGGGCGTTGTGTTGCCAAGAAACAACTTCCATTTGCTTCAGTCCACTGCAAAACCAAAGGGGTCCTGGGTTCCCGCGAAACCCAGACAAAACAATAAACTAGGAGGTTAGAATCAGGGTACCTTTTTTTTCTGTAGTCTATTTTAGTAGGGGAACCCTCCCCAAAAAAGGGGTAAAAGGGCACTACTGGGGGACCTAGTAAAACATTTTCTAAAGCAAATGTAAAGCAACGAAACTCGCCCTCATGGTAGGGGATGGTCCCGGCAACATCCCGGCAACCCTGAGATTGACCTGAAGGGAAACACATGGGCGCCCCCAGCCCGGGAACATGATGCCAGCATTCCGCTTGGTCTGTAACAAATGGGATGCGCCAACCTATCCATTTGGCACTGCCGTTGTTACAGCTATTTTGTTGCTGAACGAAGCAAGCCACACCTGCTCGACACGTAAAGTGGGTTGCCGCCTGAACAGTAGGACTGGGTGAAAGGACAGATTTCAAGCCCACACCCAAATCATCGTAGGAGAGGCTAATCCAAACACACCTAAACAAGCACAACATGGAACTTCCTGCCCTGCGCTTTACTGGTCTGGGCTGAACGCCTGACCGAAGGAATGATAACCCTGCGCAGTGTTGACTCCACAGCCCCCCAACTCAGCCGCACGCTCCTCCAGGCGCAGGTCATCCTCAGGTTACCCCGGGGCTCGTCTTGATGACAATGTCGGTTGCGTCTTCTTTACTAGCCCCCTTTGAGAAATCCCAGTGTCAGGAGTATTGCCGTGTTTTTTTCCATACGCGGGCACGCCAGCGAGACGGTTGCATGCAGGACAAAATATTCAGCTTGAACCATGGATGCTTGCCAACAAAAGCAAGCTCCAAACTCTAGTTCTATTTATTTTCTCCTGAAGCTTTTGTTCCTCGGCCGTGTCAAGCTTTATAGCTTGTTTTTAGTGCATGAGCTTCATAGCTCCAAGAAACCAGATCTGAAACTGCTACTAGGTCCTGCAATAGAAAGGTTAGAATAAGGGTACCCTTTTTTTCTGTAGTCTATTTTCGTAGGGGAACCCCCCAAAAAGAAACGGTAAAAAGGCACAACCTCGCAGCGCAGAATTGTCACACATCAAGAAACCAGCTCTGAGCATGCGAACTTCACGCCCCGCCCCCCGGTGACCGGAGCGGCTCTCAGCTGAGGCGTGAGCCAGCGCACAGGGCTCCATGAGGAAGCCCTTGCGCCGGCCCTCCCTCGCCAGCTCCCAGGCGGTCTCCTCTGCAGTGCCTGCAGCTCGCGGCTGGCGATGGCAAGGGCCGGAGACGATGGGTGAAACCAGTTCCATCAGGAAATGGACCGGTTTTGGCGGGTTTTCTGGAAATGGACCGCTGTTTTTGGCGGGTTTTCCGTGGTGCCAACCAGAAAATGGCACTTTTTGTTTGAAGGGAACCAGATGGAACAAGCCTGGCCTCTTCATTCCTCATGAGCCCCGGAGAACTTGGCCAATGAACATGCGCCCAGCTGCGCTGCTTGGAGGCCTTCCATAGGGACATTTCTTTCATAACTTGGTTGACGTTGGAGGAAAGTCTCCTCGCGCACCCCTCCAACATCCATTTGCAGCAAAGTTCCCTGCAAAAAATGAGCGAAACTACATGCAGCGCCCAGTAGTGATAGACAGGGATTTCATCACTGCCAGATGCAAAGCTCCCACCCCAGGATAAAACATAAAACTTAGGGGCTACACACGTGCACATATGACATGTTAACTGATGACTTGATTTGGTTTGAGTACCCCGCACTGTTCTTGGTTGACGTTGGAAGGGGAGCAACAATTCAAATTTTGGCAGTTAAGTGGGGGTTTCAACCACTAGCCCACAATAAGCAAAAATGTAAAAGGGTTCCCAAGAACAACCATGAAACCGTAGTTCTATGTTTTCTCCTGAAACTTTTGTTCCCTGGCCGTGTCAAATTTACAGCTCGCTTTTAGTGCAACCATGTGTTGTCCTGGAACGACGTTTGTTTTCACCCGCCACCCATCATCGGAGTCGCCTGTCTGCGAGGCGAAGAGGAGCTCCACATGCGCCATCGGCGCCATGGCCCGGCGCGGCTCGTTCCGGGTGTCAAGATGATCCGAAAAAACGAGGGTGACTTTTGTCTGGGTCCTCCAGTAGAGAGGTGGGAATCAGGGTACCAACTTTTTCTGTAGTCTGTTTTAGTAGGGGAACCCTCCCCCCAAAAAAGGTTAAAAGGTCATGACAGGGGGACCTAGTTGTTAACAGCCCCTCAAAAAGTTAACCACAATTTGTTGCGGGTTCAATTCGGAAAACCTGGTTCCTGTTTCAACCAATTGTGAAAGTCAAAATATCAATAAAGATTGGAAGTTGGTCACATGCTGCATCCTTGGCTGTAAGCCTGTGTTCATGATTAAAGTTAAGCCAACAGTTATTGAATGTATATTTTTGGGGTGCCTCGCTTTGAGTCCCTGGTAAAATGGAAATGCAGCCGAAGTGTACCCAGGGGCCAGATGCCAAGCTTTGGCCTTGTTATCCGATCTGAAACCGGATTCCGGATTTGCGCCATAGGGAGCCAACATGAACGAGCATCCGGAGCTCTTTCGGCATGGTTGAAAATAATGTGGACACATCGCTGAAGGGGTTGGCGTTCTCTGCCAATGAACAGAAGTCGCTTCACACCAGATCAGACCCTCTAAGCGCAGGGCAGTTGCAGGTATGGATTTTGCAGATGGATGCATATTTACTACAAATATAAGCTTGTAAGGCAGAAGTGGTACATAACATCCGTACCTATAAAGGGCACCCTGTCCCAGCCAGTATTTGCATATGTTTGATCCTGGCCCTCCAGCGAACCAAACTGATCCGACCTCCTCTTTTCGCTAGTTGAAAGGAAAATGCAGGAAGCCCTTTCAGGGCAGGGGGGAAAAAAGGGGGCGATGGTTTCCAATTGACTCTCCATGGCGTTCCATTGCTCGTTCCGATCCGCTGAGCGTATCGGCACGCCGATACGCGTCAGGCCCAATGGTTGGAGAGAGGCCCTGACGAAGGAAGAAGTCTCACTTGCATGGATTTGCAAGAACAACAAGTGTAAACTTGCTGTTTACCACTAAAATGGTCCAACCCCCAAGAGTTTTAAAAGTCCATGAACTCAGGAAGTGAGGAGTTCTGCTGGAGCCCTCACTCATTCATCTGAGCTTGCGTCCATCATTTCTGTCTCAATTCGTGATCCACATGCTGGGCAAAAGTCAAAGCTGAACTGGTGAAACCACGGCAAGCTGCCCCGAAAATGACAAGCAACAGAGTTCGTTCACACTCTCGGATCTCAAAAGGTGTTGGGAAAGCCTCGTTTCTCTTGCGTGCAACTGTCTCCAAGCCTAAGAATTGCCATATCTGCTGTGGAAGCGCTTTTTGAATGACGAAATCCCCGATAGGAGAATGTCTGTTCGAGGATACCCTTTTTCTTTGTGGTTTTAAAGGAATTGAGACTTGAAACTAAAGGGAATTAAAACTCACAGGAACACCATTTCAGTGGTCATTGACTTCCATTTGGTTCAGACCCCAGGAAAAAATAAAAATATTTCCAGTAGTGGTAGATTCCCTTTAAAACCAACAGGGGAAAATTAAACACAAAAATCTTAAGCAAATGGAAGTTGAATACACACCCAGGGAGGCTTGGACCTGTCCAAGCCCCCGGGCGATGATCTTCCTCTGCCCTGCCTGGCGCAAGAAACTTCCAACGCCAAGCCACACCCAGCATGGTGAGGCGCGTTTGCGGCGAAATTGCAACTACAACAACCATATTAGGTGTCCTTTTTTGGAAAATAGATGGCCCTGGTATGACAACAACGCGCTGGAAAACGCGTCTACTGAACGGGGCCCGTAACTTCACACCCATCGACTTGGTTCCCCACTCTGCTCAAGCATCCTTCGATTAAAGACGGGCCCCGAGAAAGAATGGGGAGGTTCCCACTAGAACAGCGCCCCTCAACATGGCTGTGGCTGGGACTTGAGGCTTGTTGGGCGTGTGGCATCAAGGAAGTGCACCTCCTGCAATTCGCACACGTAGGCCAATTGAAATTGGGCACGGGTCCAATTACACCGTTCAGAGCATCCGACGCTTCAGACAACTTTTCTAGACGTCCATCTCAGACAGACAGACAGACAGACACGGCCTTTGGCGCGAAACAACGCCAAAGCCAAACACCTGGCAGCATCCCTCGCAGCAGCTTACCCGCTGGAGTTCAGGCCAGGGAGATGGCTCCGCAAGCGTCATGGCCAACCCAAAGCAACAACGGCAACCGCGACAACAAACGAAAACGAAAACGACGAAACAACACCCGACAAGAAGTGGCCAAGGGCGAAGGCTCCAGCTGGAAACCTGCCAGGACAAACAAACGGCACAAGCTCAAGCAATGCCGGCATGCAAGCATGCATGCAGGCAGTGCAGGCATGCATGCAGTGCAGGCAATGCAGGCATGCATGCAGGCAATGCAGGCATGCATGCAGGCAATGCAGGCATGCATGCAGGTAGTGCAGGCATGCATGCAGTGCAGGCATGCACGCAGGCATGCATGCTGGAAGCGCATGCCGGAAGGGCAGGCATGCAGGTGATGCATGCATGCATGCAAGCACTCATGCAGTAAGGCCAAACAAGCATGCGTAGCTTTTGCGGACAAGATGTCAGTCAGTCAGGCTGGTTGGGCAAGTTGGACTTCCAGCAACCGACCTCTGCGCCGCTGGCGAACTCTGCCCTCTTCGAGGAGCCGGCGCAGCATGCGCCGCACTTGCGGATCAGGCAAGCCAGCTTCTGCTGCAACTTCCTGGACCAAGACGGTGCAATCTGCCCACGCTTGGCCCCGCAGCCGCCGGAGTAAGCAGCGGCGGGCACAGCGACTCGGCCCTCGCGGCGGCGCCTGCAGTGGCGCGCCGGCCCCAGGCCGCAGCTGGCCAGCCACTTCAGCCAGATGGGCAGCCAACAGCCCCTCCAATGTTGGCTGCGGCCGTGGTATCTGTTGGGAGGCTGCCTGCACCAGCTGCCACCAACAGTCCGGGCAAAAGGCGCCGGGCTCTTGCCCCGGTTCCAGGCGCACCCTCCGCGATGGTGCAAGGTCATGCAGCAGCCCCTGCACAAGTCTCCGTGCAAAGACCGGCACCAGCGGCACGGCAAAGCATCCGCCAAGGCTATAGGGGTCAACTTGCAGCCGCCGCAGGTTTCGCAGAATCCAAGCCGTGGGTGGCCAAAGTGGCAGGAGCACGGGGGCAATGTCAATTGCATCCGAACTCCGTCCCAGGTCCTCCAACCTACGCCCCACTCCAAAGCCTCGCCGTTCAGCACTGGAAGGCCGTGGGGCTGCAGTAGGCGCAACGGATCAGCCGGCAAAAAAAACAACAACACACACACAACAGAAAACAACAAACACACACAGAGACAGACAGACAGACAGACAGACAGACAGACGGACGGACGGACGAACGGACCGACGGACGGACGGACGGACGGACGGACAGACAGACACACACCCACAGACACACACACACACACACACACACACACACACACACACACACACACACACACACACACACACACACACACACACACACACACACACACACACACACACACACACACACACACACACACACACACACACACACCAACGCACACAACACACATCCCCCAAACCGCTGACGAGCACGCCAGACCAGCCAAAAATGGCAAAGACGGAGAGCAGGCCAAGCCATCAGCCCGGCGGCGAGCGCACCACGCAGGTCGAGATGGCAAGCACGCCAAGCCAGGGCCCAGTAGGCGAGCGCCAAGAGGGGCGGGGCTGGCGAGGGTGCCGGGCAATGCGATTGGCGAGCACGCCAGGGAGGGGGGAGTTGGCGAGCGCGCCAAGAAAGAGGCCGGCTGGCGAGCACGCCAAGCGCGGCGGAGCCGGCGAGCACGCCAAGCAAGGATAGCGAGAGAAAAGAGAGAGAGAGAGAGAGAGAGAGAGAGAGAAAGAGAAAGACAGAGAGAGAGAGAGAGAAAGAAAGAAAGAGAAAGAAAGAAGACGAAGAAACAAGAACAACAACAAAAAAAAAAGGGGGGAACCGCCGAAGGGGGGAGAGCGCGTGGGACAAAGTACCACCCGGCACGCGCCTAGGGCGGCAGAACGAGGACAGGTAGAGGACAAGGCTGTTGTCGACGACCGGTACCTCCGGGTCAGCGGCAGGAGCCGAAGGCTCAAAAGGAAAGAAAGAGGGAGGAAGAGAGAGAAAGCAGGGTGGGGAGGGAAGGCCGGCAACCAAGTGAAAGCAAGACGCAGCAGCATCTCAGTCGGAACCAGCAGTTCAGGAAGTCGTACAAACGACAGAGGGAGGGAGAGAGAGAGAGAGAGAGAGAGAGAGAGAGAGAAAGAGAAAGAGAGAGAGTGAGAGAGAGAGAGAGAGGGAGAGAGAGGGAGAGAGAAAGAGAGGGGAAGGAGAGGTGTGGGTTGGTCTGCCTCTGGCGCACCAGCAGTCGCACGCGGCCAAATCGTGTGACGGCACCCCTGAGCCTACCGGAAGCATCCGGCCCCACACACAGCTCGGGGAGACGTCCATCTCAAAACATACACACCAAATTCAACCCTCCTTGCTGGCCAAGGGGTTAGCCCAAGTGACAAAATGCCCCATTCACCTTTAAACAAAATCAGAAGAGGCGCCCCTGGCGATGTGATTTTTTTTTGCTGCCACGAAAAAATAATCCGCCAGAGGGGATTTCGGATGAATGAAACTGGGTTGCTGCTGACCCCCGTGCACAAAGTGAAGAACTGTTTCGGGGTTTAGTGGAAAACACCTATTTAGTTCAAGCAACAAGTTAAAGTCGAAAGATCCGTTACCCAATCAGGGATCCTTGCATTATACACCTGAACATTGCCCTGTAAATGGTAGTTTCCCCTTTATTTTGGTGTTGAAAAAGCAACATGTTTCAACTGGTTGCAAAATGGAGATCTATTAAGGAGCCCTGCAATAGAAGTCAAGGAAATTCCCCATGGCAATCCGCCCGCCCGCCCTCCGTGTCCCGGAGTCCCGCCGGCGGCCGCTTGAAGACACGCTGCTGCTGCTGCACCGACATGGAGCCATGCAGCGGCAGGATCCAGGCCTCGCCTCTCCGTTATGGAAACCAACAAAAAACAACGAGGGAACAAAAAGCTCGCCACCCTGGACAGGTTTGAGGCACCGGCGAAACTCTTGGGCTTTGCTGATGTGCTCAAAAGACAATGAGGCGTGTATATATAATTGAATATGACCTGGGCTGCCCGTTTTCGGATCCCCCGCTAAAAGTGCATAACTTTTCGTGGGTTAAATGGACACTACCACTAAACACTAAAAGGCTAAAAAGCCTCTGGACCGGATGGCAAGAGGAGCCATGGATAAACCATCCCATAGGTGGACTTTTGGTTAAAAATCGATGGGCTTCCCTGGCAAATGGAACAAAACCCATCTAAACCAGTGGAACCCATCTATTTCTAACCAAACTAACCTAAGAAGGACGCACATGCACCCCTGTGCCTCGTGGTTGGGTCCTACTGTGGATGAACGAAATCCATTTCGACGTAAAAAAGGAACAATGGTGCCAAAGTGGTGCGAAGCGGATTTTGCCCATCCACAGTATGACAACGTTCACGGCGTTCAATGGCATTCCCTTTACAAAGTAGTAGGGTCTCTGAAAATGGGGAAACACCTGAAGGGGTCCCCGTTGAGAACACACCCATATCGCAGAAAGTGGCCCCATAAAACCCCCCCATTTTGGTCTCGTGAAGGCTGCAACGCAGAGGACTCTGAAAAGCAAAGCGCCGAAGCCTTGCAATATCGCTACTCAAATCTCGAGGTTCCAGGGGTTGTCTCAAGAGCCCCAACAAGGGTACCCTACCAAAAAAGCACGCACCCATTTGGCTTGCACCCCAAACTTCCATTTGCTTGAGCCCCCTGGCAAAATAACATTATTTCCATGGTAGGGTACCCTTGTTGGGGCTCGGAACACGTGGACCATTTTGGGGTTGTACCTTGAGACAACCCCTGGCACCTCGAGACTTGAGCGATATTGCAAGGCTTCGGCGGTTTTCCCTTTGAAACAAACAAATAACATGACAATCAAATTCCTCCCATTAGTCACAGATTCCCTTCACAACGCACGGCGACGCAGCGGTGCCTACGCGGCCACGCAGGTGGCTGATGCAGTTCTCGATCTCTGCATGGCCTGGCCCCGGAGCCAAGGCGTCGCCCGGAAAACACTTGGTCGACGTTGGAAGGCGAGCAACAATTTTCAAATTTTAGCAGTCAAGTGGTTGGATTTCAGTCACTAAACCACAATAAGCAATGTAAAATGTTTCGCAACAACAAGAATGAACATGGAAAAAAATCCAGGGGTTGATTCCTCCATTCTTGTCAATCGTTCTGTTCAAAAGCCGGATCCGTTTTCCCTGGGTGTCTGGAGGTTTTCTGGAAACAAGCATCCCTGGAATGGGGAAGGTACCCCTAGAAACAGATGGCAAGTAATAAGTGGGCTCCGCCGAAAAAGAGACAGGGAAAAACACCTTCCATTTGCGAATCCCCTGAAAAAAAGGGGGGAACACATATGGCAAGTGATTAATTCCCTTGAACACCAGCAAGATCCGACAAGGGAAAACCATAATTCCTGAAATGGATGAAAGTGAAGTGAATCTTCTTGAAACTCATCACGGACAAGCCCTTGAACAAATTCGGGTGTCTAGAGGAAGTGCTTCGCGAAATGGCAAACATACAGCCTTTCCATCACCCACTGTTGCTTTCTGCTCCCAATCCCATTCGTTGGCAACAAGTTAAAGTCCTAACTAAGCAAAATGCACCAAAGATATGCAGGAAACGAAAACTGGAAGTCGACGCCGGAAAGGAACTCTCATGCATGAAGCTGGGGGCCGTAGCCGCGAGTTCAAGAAGGCCGTTTCGCGTATGTCCGTGCCATGCGATTCGTATCAAGAACCGCGGGTTGCCGGCGATGGCTCGTGGTTGTTTTCGGGATTCCGAACCCTGAAAATGGCGCGGATTCGGTTTTCCTTTTGATGTCCCTTCAAACCTCTGGACAAGGGTGTGTTCCCGCAAAAAAGACAAATAGAGCACCCTTCAGGGCCAATTCCCGCCGGGCAAATCCAGAAAGTTGCCCACTTCTTGTTTCAGCCACAGCCCCTTGAGTGAGGTGTTCAGCTGCAACATGTGGCATAGAGGGGGGCGGTCGTCCGATGTAAGTGAGCAACATGTGGCATATACTCGTCACAGACGAGGAAGCCACCGCACCCAGCCATACTGTGGATGGTTGCGAACTCCATTTCGCACCACTTTTGAAACCATCGGAAGGCATCGTGGCGGTATTTCCAGGTCATCGTTGCAGGGGTTCGGTGGTGCGAAAGGGATTTCGCAACCATCCCACAGGAAATGACACATTCCAGCAGGGCGAAGGAACGCCTCCGGACGGCCAATTTTCCTGTGAAAACGCCGAGCCGAGGCATGCTCCATGTTGCGTGCCTTGCGCATGGGTCGCGCTGCCTCAAAAGCGAACCAAGAGCTGTGGGCTGTCTGAGCAGCCGGATGGCTTGATCGACCCATGCTGGAGAATGCAATGCAGGCATGCACTGGCCGCTCTATACGCTCAGTTGCCCAGTGGTCACGGAAGAAAGACCTCACCCTCTGGAACTCACCGAAACAGCAAAAGTTTGCTCACTTCCTGAGTGGATAGAATGTCCAAACTGCACCACTCACATGGCCTTCGAAAGTTTCGAGTCCAGGAACTCAGGGAGTGAGTTGCACTCCCTAAACCACCACTGAGCACCTCGACCCCGATGCCGGTGCTGACTGCGTCGAGTCGCCGGGGTCGTGAAACGGACTTGCGATTCCAAGTTCCCACCGCAAGTCCCACGCCTCATATCCCACCTCCCCAGTGGTCCAAAGAAACCAGCCAACGCCGCAATCTTAAGCCAAGCCAAAAGCCCTCTCCGACTCTTATCGTAAGTGTTGCTTCTGTGTCTTGATTTCATCCAAGAGTTTTGTAATTCTCCAATTCTACCCTGACTTCTTTTTGTTCACTTGGGACTTGGGCTAGTTTCCCGATGTTCTTCTCCACTTGGTTGACGTTGGAAGGGGAGCAAACATTCAAATTCTAGCAGTTAAGTGGGGATTCCCCACTAAGCCACAATAAGCAAACATGGAAAATGTTTCCAAACAACCACCATGAAAATGGGACACGTTCCTCAGATCTCGACCCTTGCGACCTCTCAACTTTTCGGTTTCCTCGGTCCACTGCGCGCTCCGCTCGCGGCCATGGGGCGAAGCCATGGCTCACTTCCGCTTGGAGGACCAGGTGCCGTTGCCAAGGCCGCCAGACCGGTCGATGGGCAGCACCAAGGGCGGGCCGCCCAGAAACACCGAGGGCCCCGCGTAGCGGCGGATGAAGCCCCCCCACTTGCCTCAGACAGCTTGGACAGAGAGCAAATTGAACGGGCAGCTTTGCTCACAAAGATGCTGAGAAAGAAAGAAGCAGTTGAAACAAAGTGCCCAGTTCCAAGAATACAAAGGCCGGCGAAGATTGTTCCCGGAGAAACAAACAAGAATATTTTGAACTCCTTTCCTCGCAAAAAGGAACACACATAAATGCACCCCCCGAACGCGCAAAACGCGACTGCCAACTTCATCAGGTCAGCCCTTGAAGGTCTTGCCAGTCACCTTGTTGAAGACAGACTTCACCTCAAAGCAATTGACATCCCCCCTGCTGTAGGGGGAAGGGGGTGGGGGGCCCCCAATTCCATTTATCTCGTCTTCCCAACAAAAGGGAATATGGAGCCAGAAACCAGAAATGGATTTCCAGGGGTCACCCCCCTCCCGCAGAAGCAATTGACTGTGACTGCAATGCTGTTCAGAGTTGCACTGGTTTGATTTCCTGTCCAGGTCCTCCAGTAGAGAGGTTTGAATCAGGGTACTCTTTTTTTCTGTGGTCAATTTTAGTAGGGGAACCCTCCCCCAAACAAGGGTAACAGGGCACTACTGTGGGACCTAGCTGTGGAGTAGAGAACCCATTTGGATCCCCAACTCACCCATGCGCCTTTTGGGGAACTCTGCCAATGCTTGGGGCAATGTTGGTTTCATGACCTCAGTCGAACAATTGACTCACAACTCAACGGGTGACCTTTTTCGGGCCATGACAAACATGGACCAACAAGGGGAAAACGAGAGGTCAAAATTGGTCGATTCGCTTTGGGCCAGCGAGTGAAAAGCGGGAAGGAGATCTATGCCGCTTGTGACTTGCCACGTGGGGCGCTAAGGCGAGGCTTACTGAAGCATGCGCCCTCGCCGGTAAGATCAAATACTCACTTCTCGAGCGGATGGCCCCAAAAAGCAACCAACCTGTGATGTACCGCTAGAATGGTCTGCCCAAAAAGTGACTGAAGTCCAGGAACTCAGGAAGTGAGAACAAGTATAAACAAGTAGGCCAAGGGAAAGAACTGATTCACAGCGGCTCTCTCTGCAGATTTCATGAGCATCAGCTTTCTCGAGAGGGGTTGAGTGAAGCGTAGCTCTCTCAGCAAGCACCGATTCAAATTCTGGCGCGCAAAGGCATCCCCTTGATTATCATTCTGTACAGCTACTTCCTTCATTTCTGTTGTGGGCACTGGAAAAATGGGTTGATGTGTTTGAATGGTTTGGCGAACCTTCAAAGTGCAAGTGCGATTCAGCAAAAAAATCACGCGCAAGCAGCTGTCAATGCACCAAAGGGCAGTTGTCACTACAGAGACCCCTGACGTAGGGCAAGGATTAAGGATCCCTTGCGCAGCCCAGAACTGGCAAATTATTTCTCGGTCCCCTCACTTTTAGTGGTTTAGTTCGGAAAACCCATTCGTTGGCAAAAAAATGTTCAGTCCTAACATCCTTTGGCAAAATTCACCAAAGGTTTTGCTTGTCCAAGTCACGTACTGCTTCCGAGCCGACAACGACACGGCTTCCGTGCGATTCATATTCACTTGCATGATCTTGAGGTCCTTGAGCGTGCTGGTCTCCAAGCAATCCTGGCGTATGAGAAGCTCGTTTTGCCACCGTTTCGAACATGTGGGGTTAGGGTTTCAACTTCGGCGATCCCCACATTCAAATGCCTCAACTCACGCTGGCAACGCGCAAATACCCAGCCTAGCGACCGTTGCTAGGGAAATATGTTTGGGGTTGACCAAGTCTTCCCAAACAAAAACGAAACACGAGAACCACTCAACCGCTGGGAGTATAACATGTGCATGATTCAGTTCAGAACCCACGTCATGTTTTTTTTCTGCATTGGGTGTCAGCCGACTTCGTGAGTTCAAAGCAACCTGGCAGGTAGGCGAGGGTGATCAATGCCTAGGTCCTCCAGTAGAGAGGTTAGAAATAGTTAGAATAGCGATACTTGTTTTTTCTTTTTAGTAGGGGAACCCTCCCCCAAAAAAGAACGGTGAAAGGGCACTACTGTACTACTGGGGGACCTAGAATCCGGAAAAACGTGAGTTGGCTTTGTCGAATTGCAGCCTCAGGCTTGGAGGAAGTCATACCTAAGGCTAAAAAAGGAGCAATCTCTGGCCAAGAGAGGCCGGATTGCTCAAAAACCTGCGGAGAACTCAAAACACGATCGTAGAACAAATGTTTAGAACCTGAACAGAGCAGCAGGCCGTGCTGCCCAGCAACTTGCGGGCTGCAAGCAAATCAGCGTGCCAGGCATGCTGCTAGTAAACCACCCACTGTTGCAAGGCAACCCGACCAAAGCAAGCCGCAGGGTTTCACGCTCGCTCCCCATTTTTTGCGCACTCCCGGGGCAGGTGTGCCAATACTCGCCCAAACCTGGCTAACATGTATTCGAGCCGGTGTCTTGTGGGCCAATTGATCTCACACGATGTAGACTGGCCCCAGTATTTTAATTACCATTCTCATGCCACTCTCTAAGTGGTAGATAAAAGGGGAAACACCCCCCCATTTTTTTATTTTTTTCGATAACCCTAGAAAAGAGTCACATCACCCCCCGTGACCCAAGAGACATGACTGCCAAGTGGAGAAGCACTGCATGCGCCATCGAGTGCGAGGGAAAAAACAGGACGCCCATCGGAACCGGATGGGCCCCTTCCAGCACCCTCTCAGAAAAAAGCTGTGTCATGGGTGGGAGGGTAAGCCATGTTCTTCATCTGTTGCCGCTTTTCCTTTCTTTCTTTCTTGTTTTTTTTGGGGGAGTGGAGGTGGTCTCCCACTTTGAATACATTTGAGACGCACCAATCTGGCAAGAGGCGGCTTTGAACATGTGCTTCGCCAGGGAGTTGCGGTCTTCGAGGTTCTTGGGGTTCACCACGAAGGTGGTGCTGCCGTTCGCCAGCCGTTCGGTGACGATGATGTTCTTCTTCACGGTGTGGCAAACCTCGGGTTGCTGTGGCCAGACAAGGGGAATGCCAGTACCAAATGACACTCATTGGCTGAGTGGATGTCCCAAAAAAGTCCAACCTTTATATCAACCTACAGCTTGCCAGGCATCTCGCAACATTGCCAAGGCACAAGCCAAATACTCAGAACCCAAGGTGTTCGGCACGGGGGGATGCAGACAATCTGGGAAAGGAGAAGTGCAGAAATAGGAATTATTGCCGAATCCTCGGCCAGGAACACCCCTGGATTCACCACTTGCAGCTCAATCTGACGCCTGCAAGCTTTCAACGACAGGTGCAGTTTTTGCCACAGGTCTGCTGTCTGCGTTCGGGCACTCGACCCTCCAATGACTAGTGCCAGGAGCCTTGACCGTGAGTGAGGCTAGATGGACAGAGCCTACGCATACGCCGCGGGTGTGCCTGCAACGGTTCGTTCTGCCAGTGCGACTGAGTCACACGTGCGGCTTTGCCCCGCTAACGAACATATGACGAGCGGGCTCGAAAATCAGAACATAATATCAGAGACAAGGCATGGGGGAAACAAACTGGAGAACAACAGACATCCATATGTACAAACCTGCAACGAGCAGATACAAATAGCAAGGTAGCCAGCTGGTGGCAAACACAAAAGTCCATGTGTTCTAGGTGCGCCGAACAACACGTGTTTGTTTGCCGTTGGGGTCTAAACATGTTTTTGCTGGGCGAAAAAGAAAAATACACAGGAAAATCGTCATAGTTGTTCGCGCCGCGGTCGGGAATTCGTCGAACTTCCGGACATTTTTGCCTGGCGGTCGGGATTTTGTGCATGTATAGGTTCGGGAAGCACTTCACACCCAACTTCAAGCAAACAACCGCTGCAAACAAAAAAATGTTGCGTTGCCCCCAAAAGCATTTCGTAGAGACAAGGAAAACATTTCGAACATGGAGGGTCCAGGAAGCATTTGCCATGACAATCGGAAGCGAATCGCTTTAATGCAAGCAGCCACGTAGAAGTGATAAGGCTGCTTGTCGCTTGCCTCTTCAGCCGCCTCCAGGAAAATCTTGATCTCCTGTACATGTGGAGGTGAACCCTCGCTGTGCATGTGGCGGTGAACCCTCAAATGGTCATAGATATCAACGGAATGCGTGCAAATCCTTCCTGCGCGCTTCTTCCGGTTCTGGCAGGTGCTCGCAAAGAGCTCATGCGAAATGCGCCACAAGTCGCATTTTCGGAAGAAGTAGCTTGATGATCGGTGTGCTTTCTCCGTGCCATCCATTACTTTGTAGGAAATGAGTTGGAATGAGCCCGACAAAACCATCTCCTACCTTTCCGGTTCATTCCCAAAACCCTGACTCTGTCATTCCCTACTGCGCGGTTCTGCAAGCCAGCAAGTCGAACCGGAGCTGCTTGACACTACCAAACCGCCAGCTATACGCGCAACGGAAGCGTGACAAGTTAAAGTTCTATCACTTAGATGCTTAAGTCAAAGCCTGAACCAGTCTTGAAATGTTGCCCGGAAAGCTAGGGAATGGTCTCGGTGGGGTAAGAGCAACCATGCATCAATACACACAAGGTTCCTTTCTCCTAAAGAGGTACCCGGAAAAGAAACTCAACAAGCAAGTCACAGAAAGTAGCATTGACCAATTAGCCTTTAGAAACTCTACAGTTCCTTTTGCCTAGAGAACTGGTCGCGAACCCACATCTCTTCAAGGCATCTTGGGCCCACCGTAACCACCATTTGCCTAAGCAGCCGAGCTGACCAAGTGACCAGGCAGCCAGGGAATTGGGCTACCAGTGCTTTGGGCTTAAAACTGAAGCTGGCCGCTCTGATTTTCTATCAGCAATCTGGGAAGGGAATTCTGCGTCATTCCAGAGAGACTTGAGTGAACCCTTGCGCAATCGCGATCGCACAGGTCCAATCGCGGAGCAGCGTTGGGCATCGCTGCTGTTTCTGGTCGAGTTTCGCCGTCTTATCTCAAGCGCTGGCCTTCCTCCACATAGCTGGGAACAGGCAGGAAGTGACGCAGCTCGGATGGGCAGGGGATCACTGGTGGGTCTCGTCCAATTGCCGTCCAATCGCGGAATTCGGCGGGGAAACTTTGGTTTGCCGCTTCCAGCCCTTGCCAGCAATCAGATTTGGAAAGCACTGTCTGGCCCTGCACAAGCGAAATCAACATTCAGGACTCCAAAGGGAACTTTTGCTGGAGCCCGTGCGTCGGCGCCATGCAACGTCTAAACTCATAATAAAGTTGTTGCCCTTTCGCCGTCCAATCGCCGGCCTTTCGCCAAGTTGCCGCTGTTCATAAGTCTTGGGCATGCAATTTCGGAAGGCCCCAATGAATCTATGTCTGCATGCGCATGTATGCACGCGCATGCGCAGGTTTCAAGACCCGCAAAGCCGAAGCTTTGCGTGGAGGCCCAGTGGAGACTCCAAATGTCAATCGTCCCTTCCCATTTCGCCCCCACTGCTGGCGTCCTTATTTCACCGAAGTCTGCTTTAAAGTGGTAGGTGCAAGAAAACAACAGTTGCTGACTTTGAGCACACAAGGAACGGAACCGAGCAACTTCCATTTGCTTAAGCCCTGACCCCACCAATGCCAGGGAGCTGTGCCCGTGTGATATGGTCAGAAACCCTCCGCGGACGTTTCGCCGCGTGTCCGCTCCTGAAGCTTCTCGCGCTCCGGCAGATCAACCGCGGCCGAAGCCTCGGGGGAGTTTTCTGAGCGAGCAGGGCTCGGAACGCCGAGAAGATGAACATGTCCGACTCCTTTTGGAAGCCTTGCATGGAAGGGAGCATGAACGGTTGGCCAATCAAAGCTTAAACTTTTTATTTGCCACTAAAATTTGGTGGGCTGGCATGAACTTTGCTTTTCACTCGTTTTACTTTGTTTTTTGAATGGCATCTAGCGGGCTACCAGTGCCATCCATAGAACCTAGGGTGCGGGATGCTTGCTGGGCAACTTTAGCTTGGAGCCAGCGGGAGTTTTTGCGTAAAGCCAGCAGCCACTTACTATAATCAAAAACCAGGAATCCCTCTTAAGACCTTCACCACGAGGACGTGGCCAGAATGCAAGCAGGCTGGGGTGCAAACTTGACAGGGACAACATCTCCCGATGACGCTGCCTGGTCACCGAAAAGGGCCGTTCCTGACGTCAAAACTGCACATGTCTTAAAAGCAGGCCAAGCACACGAGCGACTGGTAGGATATTTTTTTGTGGGGACGAGTCAGCACAGGAACGCACCTGGTCGGCAAGCCCCGCTAAATTGCCCAAGTTCAAAAATTACGTATGGAAAACCGCTGTTTTTTTTGCACTTTACTGCAATCACCTTTCCGGTTGTCTAGATTTGTTTCTTTGCTCGGAAAAAAAGGGCGCCCAGCAGTGGGCAGCAAGGAGCCCTGATGAGAGCTACACCCATGACAATTCCCTACGGTTTGTACAGCCCATAAGGTGTAGAGCCTGGCCCCCTCAACGAATGAAGGAACAGGGACCTGACAACAGATTAGCGCGGCTTCCTGTTTCGTCCCCCGCCAAACAACGGTCAAAAAGAGGCCCTACCTCCAGAGGCCAAGACCATCTTCAATCTTCCTTTCAAAGGGACTTGGCCCCTGTCTGGTTCCATGTGAAACGGGCGGGAGGGTAGCCAGTTAACCTGCAACTGCTCACGTCTGCCGGCGTGGTGCCATGTTCCAGGTGGGGGTGCAACCCGAGTAGACCACGCCAACCTCAGCGCGACGGCAGTGGTTGACCCTCGCTGGCAAGGTCTAGGAGACCTTGGCGCTCTTCCCGAAAAAAAAACAATCAAACACATGAAACCTGACCAGTGTTCTGGGCTTCCCTCAGATCCCCTGCTAAAAGTTTAACTTTTAGTGGGTTAAATGGAAACTACCAATAAACACTAAAAGGCTAAAAAGCTAAGGGGATGGCTGAGAGCCACCAAGTGTTCAGGCCCTTCCATGAGACATGCATATCCGAATTCCTGGATTCATGAATGGAGAACATCAATCTGGCCAAGCTTTGAGGAGAAAGTCGCTTTTCTCCGAAACACAAAGCAAGAAACACATCACTTGACGAGTATTCAGGCTGTTCCCATGAGACATTCCCACCTGATTTTATTTTCCCTGGATAGAGACCATGCAATCTGCTTTGTCTCAAAACCTCAACCCTTCTCAGCTACTTTGTGCATCCAAACAATGAAAGAAATCATGAGATGCAACATGAGGGGCTGGGCAACGCTTCAGAAATCCAACGCAAATCCCACGATTTACAGCGGCCAAGCACCTGACTTGGCCAAAGCTGATGTTGCAAGCGAATGAGCCACAGCCAGGATGTTGACTGCATGACTAAACCCTAAGTCTAAACACAAACTTATTCTGGTCACATTCTTTGCTAAGGGTACCATGCTTGGGGTGTTTTAAAGGGACACACCCAAAGGCCCAAAGGTGCCGTGAAAAATATCGGCCCACGCTGGTAACAGTCTTTGCACCGCTTCTTTATCAAAGGGCTCCATCCTTTCGACAAACTCACAGTGAAGTCGGAGCCCATCTTGGCCCCCATTTTCGCGAAAAACCATATTAATATCTAATTAGAATTATAATAATAATTATTATTATCTACTGTTATTATTGTTATTATGACTCATTGATTGTTTTTGGAGGCTAATTCCCAAGCAAAACAAAACGGCCAACCGCCGAGTGGCCCCATCTCCCATAGCCCTAGGTGAAGCTTCCCCCATGCTTTCAAGGGATCCTTCTTTGCAGGAAACCATCAAAACACTGGGGCAACAGCTGGTTTTTCATAAGAACCATGGTTGAAAGGAATGGCTGGAACCAACCCTAGAATAGCATTATTATCATGACTCATTGCTTCCTTTGGAGGGCAATTCCCAAGAGAAAAACCCACAAAACGGCCAACCCGCACAAGTGGCCCCTAGCATCGACCGGCTTTTGGGGGAGGCGACTCGGGCCTTCTCTGGCCCGAACTTCTCCTGCGTGGTGCGAATCTCCAGGCTTCCGATCCGGTAGATCCGGAACACGGCCTTCGCTCGCTCTCTCGCTCGACCGCTCCCAAAAAATGGTTTCGAAACCCCAAAAAACTGGTTTCCCAGTTTCCCAATCGAACAACACGGTTTCCCCAAAGCTAAAGTCCAAAGATCCCCTTTCCACAAATATTGCAAAAGAAAACAACTTTATACCACCAACATGGCATAGCATGTGTGGGAAGGTACCTGGACAAACAGTTCCCTCTCGAGGGGACCCTCTGACTGGTGCTTTGGGTAGACGGCAAAAAGGCTGGATGTGGAGGAGCAAGAACATAATCACAAAAGTAGTCGGCAAGCGCTTCACAGAAGCTGGCTGGTCAGTGGCGGGCACCGCCCTTTGGGAGCCAGTTCAAGTCCCACTTTTTGGGTTTCATCCCCGAAACGAAGACTCCGAAGGTCCAAAGCGCCTTGCGATTCGGGCAAAACCAGCCATGGTGTCAATCTTCGCCCCAATGCAAAAAAAAGAATCCCTTCAGGAAGGTGAACAAGTCAGTGAATGCTTCCAGGAAGAACCCACCTTTCGCTGCGCTCTCATGGATTGATGGTCTTGCATTGGTGACACTGCTGCCGAATTGCCCTCCTGCAGATTAGCATGCCCCGGAAGAAAAAGGTGTATGGGGTCTCAATGTGCAGCAAATGCAAAACATGACCGAACCCCGTCCACCCACAGGGCCCACCTCCCAAAACATGAAAGGTTCAACTACCTTTGAAGTATATCCACAGAAGCTTTTTGTGAAATGGACCCTTCACAAATCCACACCATCGTCAGACTCCAAAGGCTTCCGCTGCTTCGGCGCATGGCCTTTCTGGTGGGTTCCTACTGCTCAGTTCTTAGCAGCTTAAAAAACCGGTTGGTGCCTTGGCAGATTGAGCCCCCTTTTCTGGTCTGCCCATGCCCGTTCTTGGCAAACTGCTGCAAAGGGTGCCAAAGTTCCTCCAAATGAGGCTGACGTTTGCATGATTGTTGGAAAAGGAATGGCTTCTCTTTCAACATCATTCACAATCATATCACCGCCATCGACACCCCAGCATCATCAGCGTCATCATCACCACCCTCATCACCACCCAACCACCCAGCCCCACTTCATCGACCCTGAAAATCAGACATGCATCGGGATTGGTGTCCACCAATGAGGCGGCTCCACTAAGATTCACCGGGTGAAGGGGGTCTGGAAAAATGGCACCATATGGTACCTCTTCTTTGTGTTCAAGGGAAACCAAAAGGAAAACCCTCATTTTAAGGGTCTCTCCTTTTGGTTCTACACACACCCAGAATTCACTAAAGCATCAGTCAGGGATGTGTGTCCACCATGGAGGATGTTCCAAACAGTATACATCCTCGGTGGCTACTGCCCCCGCCCAAAAGTTGAGTTTGTTGAAGTAAGTGCGGAAATTCAGCATTTTCCACAAACTTCAAGTCTAAAGAACATTCTCAGTAGCAAACAGGACAATCATACAGGAAATACCCATTCGTTTTGCTGTGTAGTTGGCCGGCTCCCTGAAAAAAAAAAGAAGAGAATACGTACCAAGAGAATCTCAAGTTTAAACCTTGAGGTGTACCAAATAACATCTCAGGGAACTCAGGGAGCTCACTTCCCATCCAGATTGGCGAAAAAGCGCCCCCCACTGCTTGTTTACTACCTAAAATGCTCCAACCCTTCCGAAAAGCTAATTTTCCACGCATGAACTCGAGCAGTGAGAAGTTAAGGCGCGACTCGAGGGGCCCCCCCCTCAAACATCCGGACCCTCGCTGAAGCCTTCCCGTCCGAGGCCTTGCGCGTCCGAGGGGCGCCATCCTCCGTGGACTTCTGGAAGTCTGGGGCCGCGTTGGGCAGCACCTCCTTCACCAGCTTCACCGCGAAGGCGTCCTCCAGCTCCACCTGGTCGCTGGTCAAAACCGTGAAGGGGATCCCATTTTGGGGATTGGTGCATTCACCACTCATCTTAGAATCGATTTTGGTGGGGGATTGGGATCTTCACTGGGGGTAACCCCAAGCATGCACCCCAGGTTTGTTGAAACCACAAATAGGGTAACCCCAAACTGAAACCCTGGATTAAACGGACCCAAAATCTGCGGGTTTCTCTGGTGGACTATGTTTTGTACCAGGTCCTCCGGTAGACAGGTTTGAATAAGGGTACAAACTGTTTATCGGTTTTCTATTCAGTAGGGAACCCTCCCCACCAAAAAAGTTGGTAAAAGGGCACCTAGCTGGGGGACCTAGAAGTACTGTGGATGGTTGCGAAATCCACTTCGCACCGACCTTCTGAGGAGATTCCCCTGTCAATGCCAACAAACAATGGTTTCAACCATGGTTGGGAAACATCCTGACCGCAGAAACCCTGGAATGATACGATTCCCCTGTAAATGCCAGAGGTTGACTTCCTATGGTTTCAGTATGGGAACGGGGAGCCGGACCAATCTCCGCTGTTTTATCTGTCAACCTGGTTTGGGGGAATGGGTGCCATGGACCAATCTCCGTGTATTTTTCCGGGAAAATGGAGGGAACAGGTTTCACGGACTGATCTCGTGTTCTAGGGGCACCTTCCCCATTCTTTTCTAGAAAGCCTCCGGAAACCCAGGGAAAGCGGATCCGTTTTTTGGAAAGAACGATGGTTGACAAAACTAATGGACAAGGACTCAACCCCTAGAATTGACTGAAAATTGTGTTGGGAAATTCCTGGCTGAATGTGTTGGAAACCAACCCCTAGAATTGATATATTGATTTTTTGGAAAATTCCTGCCTGACATGACCCTTGTCAAATTGGCCGGCCCCATGAACCGGGACCAGTCTGAGAAGAGGATCTCCCCCCAGTCCCAACAAGCAACAAACAACAAGCAACGTGCAACGTGTTGGGCGCAGATGTTTGCAGAGAAGACAAAACTCAATGACAACAGAACAACAACGTCTAGTTACTCCACTTACAACATTGTGGTAGCCAAAACCTTTCTTTTTTTAATCTTTGCGCAGCCCACCTTCACAAAGAGAAGAAAACAACACAACAACCAAACACATGCCAACCAGAGGCTGAAGTCCAAAGAAATCCAAACAAAAAAAGAGAGAAAAACCACACGCCGCGCCAGGTCAAAACAAAAAAGAGGAAAACTTATCCGCCCCCTTCATCTCGCGAGACACGGAAGGCGTCGTTACGCCTCCCGCCTTGTTGAGGCCCGCGTTGGTGGTGAGCCCCGGTTTCGTGGAGTGGCCGTCCTTCTCGATCTGGAAGCGCGAGGTCCAGTTCCTGGCGATCGGTGGGTTTTCCGATCGTTGCGATGGGTAGGGAATGCGTTGGAATGAGCCCAGGGGTCCCTTTAAAGGAAACCACCGGGGACCGGTTGAGTCACAATCAAAACCCAGTCGGTCAGCGTCATAGGTGGCCTTTTGGTTAAAAATAGATGGGTTTGCCTGGTATGCAAGAAACCCCCAGCTAAACCAGGGCCTATTTGTTAGGCAAACCAACCAACAAGGACACCTATGGTCAGGGTTTTCCTTGCGATCGGTGCGATGGGTAGGGAATGGGTGGGAATGAAATCGGGTGTGTATTTTGCAGGGTACTTCTTGTTTGTGGTTTTCAAGGGAAACCAAAAGGACAACGTGGTTGCGGTCGAGGGGCCCCTTTCAACTCGAGGGGGGGAATGAACTTTACTGGGCTGCCCGTTTTCTGATGCCCCGCTCAAAGTGAAAAACTGTTGGTGGGTCAGGCGGCTAAAAAGCTAAGTTGGGACGGCCGGGAACCAAGTATAGCCAAGTCTCAAGGAAACCAGCCGTTGGATCTAGGGCTCATTCCATTTCTCAAGGAGAACCGCGCCAGCAAGTTTACTTCCAATTCGTGGCTGCTAGCCAACCCTTTAATGTCAACCCCCTGAATTTGGAACAAAAAATAAGCCCCTGATTGTTTCGGACTCATTTCTCCAAAAGGAACCCCCAATTTAAAACAAAGGGGGGGAGGTATTAATCAGTTGTCAACAAAAAAAAAAGATATTATTTCCCTTGCAACCAGCCGCGGTGCCTGGGGAAGTCTTGGCCAGCGTTGCCCACGATGAAGCCCTTGTCGCAGAAGTGCAGCTTCCTCCGCTCCAGCAAGGACTTCTCCTCGTGCACCATGCTGCGCAGCTTGGAGGTGTACCTTGCGACACGCGACACGCGAGGAAGACGCGAGGAAGACGCGAGCTGTGCGTTTGTCCCCCACGATTTAGTTGACATGGCCTAAGAGCACCTAGGGAGTCACAAGTCTGTTAGACCCTGTTTCTTTTGGGTATGACCAGTTCATCGAGTTTTGAAGCTCCTGGTATACCAAGTTGTCAGCATTTGTACTATGTACAATTGGCAGGCCAGCATTGACAACACTTCTCAATATTGATGGGTCCCGACGTCTCAACTGGCCTCTGGCCCAATGCATCTTTCTACCCTCAAACTACCCATAAAAAAGACACATCACCCACAATCTAGAAAACAGCTTGGATATGCTTTGTGTGGATTTCACCTGTTCTTCCCCTGTTCTTTGGGAGTACCCTGGCCCTTTCAGTTCTCGTTTCAGGGGTTCGCCACATCCAAACAAATTGACAAAAGCGAGTGCCTTTAATTGATGAGACTCATTTCAATCATGTACCAGCCGGCTTCAATCTGAGCCACCAAAGACCACAGTTCCATACAAAGAACCAACCAGGGAAACCGCTTGCGAGAAACAAGGTCAGGGGGAGCCCTCCACGTCGCAATGAAAACGTGGAACTTGGAGCTGCCCAAGGTGCTCCATGTTGGGATCTGGGGGGATGAAGGCATCGCCCTCCTCCGTGCGATCGCACTGAGGCGAGTGAAAGACCTTGATCAGGATCTCCTCAGCACGGGCGTCTTTTGGTTTCAAAGGGGATGGGTCGTTTTCCAGGACCTGGGGTCTCCATGACCCGTAAAAAACGGGTCAATGACCCTATTATTTTGGGTAATGACCCCATTTTTTGAGGGTCAAAAGGAGACCCCAGGGAGAACCAAAGGGAAATCGCTGATTCCAGGGGTGCGCCAATTTTTGAGACACGCCCAGACCTGGCGGTGCAAGTCAGGACACCACAAAAAGGCGAAATGAGGCGCAGTATGAACTACTTTGGATTAGCATTCTATAGCTTTGTATAGAATAGGCCTTATAGGTCACATTTAGCATCTAGAATGTTGGGTAATATGAACTAAATGGAACTAATAGGTCCTTTGACCCTTGCACTATAGTTGGGTTCGTCACATTTAATTATAGGTCTTATCTTCGGGTATCATATGTCCATTTAGCACTATTCATATATTAATTCATGACACTATGTACAGCTCACCCATCCCCCGGGCAAGGTTTCTGGTCAAGTGATAAGCCCGCTTCTGCACGCAAGGGCGACTTCAAGCTGCGCTTCGCGCCAGTCATAAATGCATGGCTGCAAACAAACCCTTGCAAAAACAGTTTATGTGTAGGTTGGTGTAGGCACTTGAAACCAGTCCTATCTGCACAACCTATTGTAACATCACATCCGACTAGGCTTCATAAAACACAACATCAGCCAATGTCCCCCCCCCTTCCGAAAAGGACCGAAATTTGCGCGCAACAAACTTGTGACCCCTTTTGAGCGCTTGCAGACATGTTCAAAACCATCTTGGCTGCCAACGCGCGCTTTCCTTTTTCTCGAGCTTCCAACATTTTACGGCTGGCTCGGAGAGGAAGGAGCCCAGAAGGGAGGCCCTCACCCATGTCGTGGGGGGGGTTTTCGGTCGTGGGAAAAAACCGAACCGGAAGGATCAAGAAGGGAGCTCGCCCCAGTCGTGGGGGGGGCTTTCTGTCATGGAAAAACCGCACCCCTCGGCCCCAAGACGCTTCGGTCTCCTGGTGCTCCGGCTTCAGCTCCTCGTAGCTGCGCTGGCGCAAGCCCCGCAGGAAGGCACGGCCCAAGGTCACGCGAGCCTGGGAGAGAGATCCAGCGAATCCGCCAAGCGCTCGGTGAGTCCATGGGGAAGAAGCCCATGAAAGGAGTGAGACGTAGGCCTATCTACTTACATAAAGCAAATGTACGTATTTTTGTTTGTTCGTGTGTGTGTGCTCCAGAGTTAGCACATCTATATACATATGCACATGTTGCCTCATGTTCATACAGGCTCCTTATGCACTGGCTGGACTGGGATGTTCAAGTACCATCGCATGGTACTCAGGTCATTGGCGTCCAGCATATCAACAGATTTGCAAATCAGGTCACTGACAACTGGGCTGTCCTCAGATCCCCTGCTAAAAGTTGCTGAATGGACACCTCCATTAAACCTTCTTTCAGTCTAAAAGCCTAAGGGCACGGCTGGGAAGCGCCAACACAATACTGAAAAGCCTGCAAGGCAAGCCGAACGCCAACTGAACTTTGGTGCAATGCAGCAACCTTCAAATTTCTCACTGTGCACCACTCCCTTTGATGTAATGTATCCTCCACGCACATCGACCGTTTGCTTCATTCAAAGCAAAAAGAAGAAAACGAAAAAAACACCACAGCCAGCCAAATCCACCATCCACGCATCGACACGCAGACGCGCACGCCAAAAAAGCGCGCACACACCGACAAGTGGCCTCCATAGACCCGGGCTTTCCGCTGCAGGCGGGCATTCCACTGAACTTGTCCGTCTTCGACAGGTCGAACTTGTCCAAGTTCAGGTCCACACCTGGCGCAAAAAACCACAGCGACTCAGCTGGGATCTGGAAATAGACTCATTGAGTGGGGTGACCAAAGCAGGCTTCTGGTTTACTTACCCCTAAGATGGTCTTCCCGAAAAAGTGTTTAAAGTCCATGAACTCAGGAACTGAGTAAAAGGTGATCAGCCTTTGGGCCTTTACTCAACTTGACTCTGTGCATGTTTCGTGGCAGAATCAATCGATATTGAAAGATGGCCAAAGTGGCACCCTTGTTTGAGCGGAAGCCAGCGATCGGATTGGGTTTGGAAAGAAAACTGTCCTTTTAGCAACCCCTTTCAAGATGGTGCTAGGTGAATTATAGTATTTCACCATATTTCACCACCCTGAAATAAGATGGTTGGGTGGATATTCCCCACATCAACCACCATTATCCACCATTTGGGGTGAGGTCGTGTGAGGTCGCTATGATTCACTGGAAAGATCGGCTCTGCCGAAAGAGCCGCGAAAATTCCGACTGGTCGGCTGGCGGATCGGGAAACAAAAAACGGATCGCCTTGAGGCATCTCGGCCCGCTGGCCCAGCTGGAACCGCTGGGGCATGAACCTAGCCAGCTGCATTGGTTTGACCGGGGCCCTCTTTACCAAACTGGTCCTCCAGTAGAGAAGTTAGAACAAGGGTACGCGATTTTTTTCTGTAGTCTATTTTAGTAGGGGAACCCTCCCCCAAAAAAGGGTAAAAGGGAACTACATGGCCCTCCCCAAAAGTTAGGCCATCTGGGAAGTAGCCTAAGCCAAACAATGAACACCGGGGTCGCTTTACCCTGCGCATGGTCCGCATGGTGCGGCAAAAGAGCCTAGCAAACTGCTTAGCAAACAGGAGTGGCTTCTTTGGGGGTGCTTTTTCAATTAGAGAAACACGGTGATAGGGGGGCTTGGATTCAACCATCATGTGTGTTCATTGCGCCAAACTGCAACAAAGAACACACCCCCATGCTTTGTGTCTTGCAAAAAGACGGCCCATGACCCCTGGGGCTGAAACAACCAGCACGGACATTTACGATTCCCCCATGCAAACAAGCAAACCATGGTGTCCAATGGTCTCAAAGTGGGGAGACGCTGATTTCGTCCATCCACGAATTGGGGATTGAAGGTCTTTCGGCTCCTCACTTCCTGAGCGGATTGGCTGAAAATTTGGTCCAAACTGTCTATTTACCCCTATTCATTTCCCCCTGAAGTTTATTTGGGTGTGGCTCAAAAATGGAACCCTGGTAAATAGAACGAATAGAAAGCTAGACTAAAACCTGCGTACCCCAGCTGTTCAATTTTGAGCCATATACCCATTTACCCACTAAACTGGTCTACTGGTCTACCGCAAAAGTGCCTAAAGTCCGAAGGCAGGGTTTTATTTTTTGACTACTTCAGGGTAGACTTAAACCCAGGGGTGGTTCATTCCCCCCAAAAGGAGAACTGGGTTTAAGTTTATCTGGGGGTATGCAAAAAATGGGGAACCCTGGGTAGAGTCGTTCGTCTGAGGCCCCGGCATGGGTCGCCCGGATTGGCCCAGCTGCATCCCCGTCTGGCCCTGCAGGGCGTGGCGCTGCGCCAGCTCGAAGCGGTCCAGGCCGAACTCCACGCCGCCGTAGATGGCCTGGAGGTTCTTCTGGCCTCGTCCAGGCGTGGCCGGTTCCAGGCGTGGCGATTCCCCACGGAGAGGGAAAGGAGTGGAGTGGCCGATTCCAGAAACGAGGTCCTCCAGTGGAGGAGGTTAGAATAAGGGTACCAACTTTGTTCTGTCTATTTTAGTAGGGATTCCATGGCAGTTTTTGAAGTAACCCCTTTGCAGGTCTGGGAGCTTCCATGTTAGAAGGGAGTGCACTGTAGGCCTTGCAATAGCTGACTGGCGATCCCAACTTCACCCTAGACAACCTCCTGAACCAACTTACAGGAGCATTTAACAAGCTACCAGCAGTTGAACAGTCCAACGTCAGGCAGCTTCATCCTTATGAATGCCAGGGAGAGGAAGGAAGGACAGGAGGGAGGAAGGGAAAAAGAAGTGTGAGAGAAAAGGGAGAGGTCAATGTCGGCGGACTGAGCTGGAGGCTTGAAAGTTTTTGAAGTTACCCCTTGAAAAGCTAGGTTCCACAAAGGCCTTCTGGGAGATTCCATGTTAGTCTCAGGGAGTGTACTGAGGATGCGCCTTGCAGTAGCTTACTGGCGATAGGCGAGGAATGAGAAATGGAAGATGAACCGGGGTTTGGGGGATTCCCGAAGAAAGAAACAGCCAGTTGCATGGTTGATAGGGGTTCTTCCATTTCTCATTCCCTGCTGATGGGCGAGCTCACTTGGCCCTTAGGGACCTGGAAATCAAAGGTTCACCTGTTGGGACCTCTAATAAAAATTAACCAAAAAGGGAAACCCAAAAGGAACAACCGAGGAAGGCCGTTTTTATCGAGCCATTTGGTGTTTTAATTTCCCGGATGACGCCCGGCCGGGACAAACCGGTTTGTCAACTGCTGAAAGGTCGCCTTCTGCTCGAGGTACCCTCCTGCCCGGTAATGTTGACCCAACTGATCAATCCCTAGTTCATCAACAGGTGTCCCATTTGGAGCTGGGGGGAGTCGTGGGGGTCGTGGGATCCTACTGATCAAACTCCTAGTTCATCAAGAGGGGCGGGGCGCTTCAAGACCTTGACCATGGGCAGATCCAGAAGAGGGGAACCTGGGAGACCACCCCCTTTCAATTCGCCACCATAGGTGGCCTTTTGGAAAAATAGATGGCCCTGGTGAATGGAACAAAACCCTTCTGAACCAGTGGCAACCATTTATTTCTAACCAAACTAACCTAAACAGGCGCGTATGTTTGCCAGGCGAATGCTTTGGGCTGCAACAAGGCTCCAGGCGTGCACTGGTGCTTCCTTTTAGGCCACTTCCTCCTCTCAAACCGGAATACACAAGCCAAGCGCATGGCTTTCATCAGTAAAAAGGTTATAAGGGCACTAAGGGCACCAACTTTTTTCTGTGGTCTATTTTAGTAGGGAAACCCTCCCCAAAAGGGGATAAAAAAGATTAAAAAAGCACTACTGGGAACGAGATGAACTATCAGGCGAATTGATGACCGGAACGAGGCATCACGGGGCGCTTGACCGCCCATTGGTCTTCAGCTGATGTTCTGGGCACTCGGGCGTCTGGAACATCTTTTGCACAGGCTGGTCCCCTCCCAAAGTGGGCTCCACGTGTTCATGGGCCCTGGCTGCAAAAAAAAGCCAAGCAAAGCACCAGCTTGGGTCAGCTTAGGTTGGCTTATCACGATCATCTATCAAGTATCACCGGACCTGCTCCAGTTGACCTTTCTGATATGACTATGCAAGTTAGAACATGTCGTGCAAAGACTTCGTGCAGCCAATTTATTTGAGCCCTCTTGCTTACCCCCTATCGAGACGCACTCCCCATGATTCCCGCGTAGGGGTTCGCCTCATTGTCATGCATGTCCAACATTTTGCTTGTTTAGCCTCTTCTTATTGGCCCAGACCTGAAACTGATAGGGCTACCAACACTAAAAGTGGAATAAAGGCTAAAGGCTAGCTTAGCAGCGTTGGACCAGTGAGTGAGAGAAGTCTTTAAACTCCTGGCACACCAAGAGTATTGCACGCCAGTTCTTGGAAAATGTGCCCAACGATTACACAGGAACAGTATGCTCCAGAACAAAGTATCCACAAAAGGCAACCCCATAGCGGCAAACCTACTATACATGACAAGCAACACAGCGATGCCGACCCTGCTGTCCGCTGCTACCCGTTACTGGCCCAAAGCGGGGAGTTGTCAATGCAGAGCATCAAACAGCGTGCAATGGCACATGCAAACTAATACAGTAAGAGATACACAAACACGTGTGTATACATATGGAGTAGAGAGGTTAGAATAAGGGTAACCCTTTTTTTTCTGTAGTCTATTTTAATAGGGGACCCCTCCCCCAAGAAAGAAACGGTAAAAGTTGGCACCTAGCTGGGGGACCCAGTATAGCATATACATGCGCATGTCACGTAAACGCCGAGGTTCCGCCGGTGAACATGTCGATGAGGCGGCCGTTCTTCAGCTGAATGCGCGAGTTGCCGCGCATGTTCCAGAGCTGAGGGATCTCCGGATGTGCCTCGGGGGTGGTGCCCTTCACGATCTCGTCCGCCATCTTGTACCACCTGACGTCATGAAAAACCGCTGGCTGGAAAACAGGGGTATGCGACGTCCCGTTCCCAACCAAACAATGCTGACCACCTGACGTCATAATGAAAAAAAAAACGGTCTTAAAATTCGGTCTACCCAGAACCATGGACCATGCAAAGACGCCCAGCTCTTTATGGCAAGGGGATTGTCCCTAACCTTCATCTACCCGAATCGGTTTTGAGCAAGCTCACCTGAAGGACACAAAGGCTCCAATGGGCTCCTCACTTCCGACGTGGATTGGTGAAAAGCAAGTAACCCAACTTGTTGTTTACCACTAAAGTTGTCCAACCCAAAAAAAGGTTGAGTCCGTGAACTCGAAAAGTGAGGTTGTCAGGCGGGGGGTGAATGCTCAAGGGGAAGAACGGCGCCCACGCCCTAGCCCTAGTGGCCTAGCGATACTGGCCAATCCTCAGATGGATAAGAAGGCCCTCCTGACTGCTTGGAGCCTCCTTCTGACCCTAAAAAAAATGGATGGTCATTACCCAAAATAACGACTGCCTGGAGCCTCCTTCTGACCTCAAAAATGGTTGAACTAAAAAAATGGGGTCATTACCCAGACAAATAGGGCCATCGACTCATTGTACACTAATGGGGTCATCGACCCATGTTCACAGGGTCAGAAGGAGACTCCAGGTGCCGCAAGCGGCATCTTGCATCCCGAGCCGCCGAGGGTCCAAACGGACATTGGAGTCCACCAGGTACTTTGCCATCACGGACGCCTGCAAGAGCCGAGCAAAAGCAGGGCAACTGAACAAGCGCCGGCCTGGACCCTCACACTACCCAGCAACAAAAAAGGAAGGAAATCACCCCATGTTGGGGCAATAACCCATTTTTTATGGGTAGATTGAGGGTCCAAAGGCCTGCGTTTGCGAAGAGAAGAACTAACCCTCACGAAACAAACAGAGCTTGTGACCGCAAAATGGGTGGAGCTTTCTAAGTTATTTTTCACCAGCTCTGGCCAGCGAAAACGGCGGCCGGGGGTTTCTGCTGTCAGCAGAGCTTCTTAGAAAAAAGTAAATTGACTACACAAGCTTTTCAACTGGATGGTGGATGGCGTTTCTTTTTAGGTTGGTATCAACCCGTTCAAGGCCGACATCAAAATCACCTGGAACCCAAACCACGTCGGTCTCGCGTCTGGTCAGCCGACGGCTGCCGGCCCAACCCCAGCCTTGGCCAACTCCCTGAGATGGAAGACCACGCTCTTGCGCTCGGCGATGAGGTCGAAGTGCCGGGAGAAGGCGTCCGCGAATTTCTTCAGTGGATGATTCCTGAGAATGCGACTCGGGGCAAGGAAGTCTGGGTCCAAGTTGGGGGCCAGAAGGAAGGGTCCAGGAGAACATGTGGCTGTGGGTCAAAAATGTGTACCCAACATGGAATGCTGGTAAATGGAAACATGGACCAAAACCTGCGGTCTGGTGGTTTTATTTTGACCCATGCCCGTGTGTGTGTGGTGTGTGTGGTGTGTGTGGTGTGTGTGGTGTGTGTGGTGTGTGTGGTGTGTGTGGTGTGTGTGTGTGTGTGGTGTGTGTGGTGTGTGTGGTGTGTGTGTGTGTGTGTGGTGTGTGTGTGTGTGTGTGGTGTGTGTGGTGTGTGTGTGTGTGGTGTGTGTGTGTGGTGTGTGTGTGTGTGTGGTGTGTGTGGTGTGTGTGGTGTGTGTGGTGTGTGTGGTGTGTGTGGTGTGTGTGGTGTGTGTGTGTGTGTGTGTGTGTGTGTGTGTGTGTGTGTGTGTGTGTGTGTGTGTGTGTGTGTGTGTGTGTGTGTGTGTGGTGTGTGTGGTGTGTGTGGTGTGTGTGTGTGTGTGTGTGTGTGTGTGGTGTGTGTGTGTGTGTGTGTGTGTGTGTGTGTGTGTGTGTGTGTGGTGTGTGTGGTGTGTGTGGTGTGTGTGGTGTGTGTGTGTGGTGTGTGTGGTGTGTGTGGTGTGTGTGTGTGGTGTGTGAAGTGTGTGTGTGGTGTGTGTGTGTGTGTGGTGTGTGTGGTGTGTGTGGTGTGTGTGTGTGGCGTGTGTGTGGTGTGTGTGTGTGCGTGTGGTGTGTGTGTGTGTGGTGTGTGTGTGTGGTGTGTGTGTGTGTGTGTGTGTGTGCGTGGTGTGTGTGTGTTGTGTGTGTGGTGTGTGTGGTGTGTGTGTGTGGTGTGTGTGTGTGGTGTGTGTGTGTGTGTGGTGTGTGTGGTGTGTGTGGTGTGTGTGGTGTGTGTGGTGTGTGTGTGTGTGTGGTGTGTGTGTGTGTGGTGTGTGTGGTGTGTGTGATGTGTGTGGTGTGTGTGGTGTGTGTGGTGTGTGTGTGTGGTGTGTGTGGTGTGTGTGGTGTGTGTGGTGTGTGTGTGTGGTGTGTGTGGAGTGTGTGTGTGTGTGTGGTATGTGTGTGGTGTGTGTGTGGTGTGTGTGTGGTGTGTGTGGTGTGTGTGGTGTGTGTGGTGTGTGTGTGTGGTGTGTGTGGTGTGTGTGGTGTGTGTGTGTGGTGTGTGAAGTGTGTGTGTGGTGTGTGTGTGTGTGTGGTGTGTGTGGTGTGTGTGGTGTGTGTGTGTGTGGCGTGTGTGTGGTGTGTGTGTGTGCGTGTGGTGTGTGTGTGTGTGTGGTGTGTGTGTGTGTGGTGTGTGTGTGTGTGTGTGTGTGTGCGTGGTGTGTGTGTGTTGTGTGTGTGGTGTGTGTGTGTGGTGTGTGTGTGTGTGGTGAGTGTGTGTGGTGTGGGTGTGTGTGTGTGGTGTGTGTGTGTGTGTGTGGTGTGTGTGTGTGGTGTGTGTGTGGTGTGTGTGTGTGGTGTGTGTGGTGTGTGTGTGTGTGTGTGTGTGTGTGTGGTGTGTGTGTGTGTGGTGTGTGTGTGTGTGTGTGTGTGGTGTGTGTGTGTGTGGTGTGTGGTGTGTGGTGTGTGGTGTGTGGTGTGTGGTGTGTGGTGTGTGTGTGTGGTGTGTGTGTGTGTGTGTGGTGTGTGGTGTGTGTGTGTGGTGTGTGGTGTGTGGTGTGTGGTGTGTGGTGTGTGGTGTGTGGTGTGTGGTGTGTGGTGTGTGGTGTGTGGTGTGTGGTGTGTGGGTGTGTGGGTGTGTGGGTGTGTGGGTGTGTGGGTGTGTGGGTGTGTGGGTGTGTGGGTGTGTGTGTGTGTGGGTGTGTGTCTGTGTGCGTGTGCGTGTGCGTGTGCGTGTGCATGTGCATGTGCATGTGAGCGTGCGGGCGTGCGGGCGTGCGGGCGTGTGGGCGTGTGGGCGTGTGGGCGTGTGGGCGTGGGGGCGTGTGGGCGTGTGGTCGTGTGGTCGTGTGGGTGTGTGTGTGTGTGCTGCGGGAGGGGTTTGGGAAGGCGACTTCACTTAAGGCCTCTGTCCACTCCAATCTGGGCTGCTCTCAGATCCCCCGCTAAAAGTTTAACTTTTAGTGTGTTAAACGGACCACTAAACACTAAAAAGCGGAAAAGCTCAGGAACCGGATGGCTGGGAGCCACCAAGCACACATGTCTCCAACGAGGTGTTGGGCCTCGCGAACTCCGGCCAAAAGGCAGAGCAGTCACCGCGGCATCCTCCAAGCCCTTCTTGGTGACCATCTGCTCCCGAGCCTCCACACCCATCTTCACCTCAGAACGAAAAGCTCTCTGCACCCGGTCCTCCAGTAGAGAGGTTAGGGTTTAGGATATTTCTATTTTTTTTCGGTCGTCTCTTTTAGTAGGGGAACCCTCCCCCAAAAAAGTTGGTGAGAAAGGGCAGCTAGGGACCTAGTCTGACAAGCGCGAAAAGAACGGCACATCATCCAATGGATGATGAAGAAGATGCGAGCTGACTGGCTGGTGAATGTGGGAACGACCCCTATAAACCATCTTTTGTTTGTTTTTGGCCCCCTGAAAGGACTCCGGGGTGCATTCCATTTCTGCCATTTCTCATTCCCCATCGCAACAGCAACTGGAACACTGCAGGGAATTCTGGGTTCATGCCCTGCCCTACCTCTCGCACCACTCGAACCTGCATTTTGGCGAATCGCAGGGGAACCCTCCCCCAAACAAGAGGGTGAGAAAGGGCACCTAGCTGAATAACCTAGTGTCTGTTGGTTTCCCAGAAAGAAACGGCCCTAAAAAAGCAAAAAAGTATTAAACACACAAAAAACATGGTAATAATACAAATAATAAACATAAAAAAAGAAAGTAAGAATACAACTAGTAAGCAACGACCTCCAACCCTGCCACATCCAGTGAAGGCGCAAAGGGCACCAAGGTCTTGTCGGAGGCGAGGCGGACCTCCGCCTTGCGCACCACGAACCACTCGCGGCCGGCCCAGGCCTGCTGGCCCGGCGGGTTTGGGCGCGTGGCGAAACGCGGGGGTTGAAAAGGCGCGGGGTGGGCTATGGCCCGGGGCCCCCGTGGATGGGTCCCAAAAAGTCGAAACAAATTCTACCAAGAAGAGGCCCTCACACGAAGCAAGAAGCCTCACTTGCATGGATTTGCCCGAAACAAGACTAAACTTTTTGTGGTTTTGCCCCAAAAATGGTCCAACCCCAAAAAGGGTGCTTCACGTCCATGAACTCAGGAAGCGAGTAGTGGAAAGGCCAAGGGGGTCCATAGCCCTGCTTTGAGGGTCCATGACACCCATAAAATTCTAAGAGAACCCATTCGCATGAGCCTTCGTTTTTACAGGGTAGCCACTATTCCACCCGAATACATGTCCTTGAGGGGCCTAGGTTGGGTACCAACCAGAAATTTCCCCCTAAGCCAGCCAACAAGACAAAGCCAGACGCCGCGTGGCAGGAACGCGCGGGTCAAACTCTGGGCGATTTACTCAGTTGCCCAGGGGACGTGGAACTAAAAGCTGAACCTTTTCTGAGCTGTCAGATCCCCCGCCAAAAGAGCCTGACTTGTAGTGGGCGAAATGGGAAAACCCCACGAAACACTAAAAAGCCAAAAAGCGCCAAAAAGAGGGCTGGGAGCCAGCCAAAACTTAGCCAAGTCTTGGGAGCCAAGAATGGCAGAAACAGATCTGGTCAGATCAAACAACTCGAAGCCGGAAGCACAAAGTCGACATCTCTCCGCGCTGCAGCGATTGGAATTACTTCGGTCCCAGTCATTGGTTACGTAAGGGGAGTTTGGACGTGGGCAAAAGCAATCCGGGGGGTGTTACAGCAGCGGGGACAATGTCTTGCAAAAAAGTTTTTAACTTTTTGTGGGGGTTAACTGGAAAACCCCCCCAACAGTCCCAAAAAGTCAAGGCCTAAAGATCCGTTGCCCAATTGCAATCAAGATTTGGACCTCCATCTCTGGACTCGGAGACCTCGCTTGCCCGAGGCCTTGTCTTTGTCAGACAGCTCTGACCAATCGAAGACGCTGAGCATGCCCGCCACAGGCATATCCTGAATCAATCTGCCGCAACTTTCAGCAGAACTCGCGGCAACCCGCAACCCTCAGAAACAACTCCCAGCTGCCAAGTGATCCTGGTAGAAGGGGGAAAATCCCTGTTGGGACTCAGCGGCACTCAAAGGGCAACACAGCGGCACTGAACAACTCAGCTCCAAATTCTTCCCAAATAAATAGTGAGTTCTGGCAGTAGTCAGAGCCGCTGCCTTTTCACCCGGACATCCAAACGTCATGGAAGTAAAGTCCTGTACCTGGCATGGCCAAAAATGGCGCGAATGGAAGGCACAAAACATCCATCCAAGCCGAGGCTGGATTCATTCCCGAAGCCTTCAAGGAAGTGACCCTCAGAACTGCTTTGGCCTCTCTGCTGTAACGACCCCTCCGCAAAAAGTTGATAGGATAGAAAAATCAGCTTGATGTCAACCAAGAAGTTAAAGTCTAAAGATCCAACCAAAGTCTCTTTTAGGTTGGAACCCCCAAAACTGGTGGTTCTCTTCTTGGTTTTCCGTGAAAATTCCGCAAAAAAAAGGCACTCATTTGTGGACGGGCCAAATGTGTCAAAAGGGCAGTGCAAGAGGTCAATGCCAAGAACTGCACGACCAATCAGGAATCCGCCACAAAGCAATTTGGAGCTGCCGTTTACCCTTTTTTGGGAAGGGGTTTTAATAAAGGAAACAAAAAGCAACAATGCATTTTGCGGGTAGTGTGAACCAACCTATGTCAGTCCAGCGACCAGAAACCACATAGCGAGTCAGAAAGTCTGGCCACATTTGGAAGTGGTTAGCCACCTGGGTTGCAACCAACTACTGACATGGCTAATTCCACTATAACCGGTTACCAACAACTAAGCTAGCCAACACCAAAGCAATAACCCAAACAAAAACATCATGCTGGTTGCAGGTCTGACCAAGTCGTAAGTTTGTCGAATTGCTGAAGCTTTCTCAATGAGCTATCTTTGATCAGTATCTTTGAGACAAGCCCTCCTCGCACTGTGCATGAAAAACACGCTGGGCAAAAAAGTCAGGACACCATGCACACCACAAACCGAGCTGCACTGCGACTGGCAACTGTGGCATGGCAAAACTCCCTGCGCATAGATTGCTTTAACGGGAAGCACCATGTCGGATGTTTAGGATCCCTGAAGGATTGATCACCGCCTGATTGACCCAAGGGCGAAAGTGTTCCTCCCGATGGCACGAGTGGAAGGAGTTTGTGTGCGGCGCTACAAGCGGGGGAGAATAATGCGGCCCAGGCGTCATACTCCCCAAGAGCCAGTTCTTTCCTTAGATTCGGCTTCTCAAGCGCCGATGTCAAGCGAGCATGTTCCAAAGACCCTGCGAACTGCACAAAGCAAAAACCTCATGGTGAGCATCAGCAAGCACTGAGTCACACTCAAAACCCGGTATCTTCATGGCCTACCCAAACCAATGTGAAGAACTACAAAGGCGGATATCCGCACCTATTTCTGGTGCGCATTGCTCCTTACCCTCTAATTACCCGGGCTTTGAGACTGAGACATTCAACGTGATGGGCAAATGGGGGGTCGACTCAACAACGACGAGAGGTGTTCAAGCGGCCGTGTGCAACGGGGTTTGACTTGGTTTAATGCAACCACATGGATCAGTATAACAAACTACGAAACACGCAAGCCAGAATCTCAGTAAGCATCCTCTGGATGACATAACACAAGTTTGGGTTGCTTCGTGATGTCGCACTGGCATAATCTTCACAATGCATAGTTGCCATGGGCCCCCAACCTTTAGCATTGTAGCAGTTCATTTCGCAGAATCAACTGGAAGCTTCTCGGCCAACATTATGCATAGGCCCATGGGGGTTGTCCTCTTTGCCCGGGATTGGGTCCTTGGGCCGCACTTGCGTGGAACTTGCGCAGACTTCTGCGTGCGCAACGCAGAAACGAGTTTTGGTTGACCAGTTTGCGAGAAGCAAAGCAAAGGCTTTCGAAGAGTATTCAGGGCTAGGGGTGTTCCTGCCATGTCCAAGAAAAGTGTATGTTGCGGAAGCAGTGCCATTTCTTGCTAAGGACATCCTATGGCAAAAGAGTGGATGCCTTGCTGGAGCTTCTCGGGTGCTTGCGAAGAAGCAACTTGGGCGGGTTTTGTCACGCCAGTCGCTGATTTTCACATTTGTCTTGTCAGCTAAAAGTAAAGCAGCCATGAAACCCTTTGAGACTTTTACCTCGCGCCTTCCTTGAGCCGCACTTGCGCGCTCTTTGCGCTCGCACAGCTTCTGACACCTTCCCGCGAGTTTTTTTGGGACGACCTTACATGTGCAGTGCAGCCAGCGGACGCATTTTGTCTTGTGGCCGGAAATGCCCAAGATGCACAAGCACAATGAGCCCAGAGGTGGACCACAAAACAACTCTGCCCCCTCCTCCTCCCCGCCCCTTCCCCCCTTCGTCTTTCGCGCTCACTGGCTCCCTCCTTCCCCCAACCCCGCCCTCCCACAAACTCTCCCGCTGAGCGGCAGGAAGTAGTCCGCCTGGAACATGACGTCCCCCACGCTGGTGCCCGCCAGCCAGCTGGGCTCATAGACCTGCCGGGCTCCGAGAGGAAAGCCTCGACCCAGAAAAGGCTTCGGGCGGGTCTCACTTCCGATCGAGTGGATTGGTCACAAGAAGCGAGCATCTCTTATACACGAAGTGAGTTTCCTTGGTTCGATCGGGGAATGAGACATGGAACATGGAACGACCCCAAATGGGGGAGGGGGGCGAGGGGTTCACCAAAAATGAGGACCTAGGGAAAATCCGCAAATGTCATTACAATTCCAAGGTAAGCTTGATTTGTTTTCAGGTGAGCTCGCCATAAAGTATGCAGTAAATGACCCCAAATGGAGGGGCCAAGGAAGATACAGGGGATTCACCAAAAAATGAGAGCCCGGGGAAACCAGGCCCAAAATGGGTTAACCCACACAAAGCCGCTTCGATCGGCAGGGAGCTTCCCTCGTTGTTTGGTGGTTTGGACTGGTGGTTTGGTGGTTAATTGGAGGGGTTTCCCATGTGCCCTCTACAAAAGCCAGGGGTCCAAATCCCAAACCACCAATCCAAACCACCAACTAAGGATTTCCTGAAGGGAAATCCAAAGAAATGGAATGGCCACGAGAAAAACAATCGCCGATTTGGACTCCTTTCTTCGGGAACCCGGACTCGGTCAGTCCCTACCTATCGCACCAGCAAGTTGTTCGCCATCTTTATCCACATACCCTAAGGGCCCTGAAACGTGATGTGCAGAACCCGGACATCCCAGTGCAACACGCCTTAGGGGTCGCACTGGTGATTCTGGAGCCCCAAACTCCAAGACAGCGAGTTGCGTCTTTCCTAGGGGCCTGATGTCACATGCGAGCATTCGCCAAAACGAGTCCCAAGAAAACAGATCCACAAGCGAGGCCTTGGCCCTCTGCCAATGCCACAAGCCTCCCGCTTTTCACCGGAGCCCTCAAGGAGCCCGCTGAAAGATGAGGCCACTTCACATTTGCTTGGGTAACCAAAGCTGTCCAGGCGCTGAACGAAAGCTGTCCTCCATGGGACCCTCTGGTCTCTCTCTCTCTCTCTCGTTCGTTGTTGGCAGTCCGATTTGAACTCTGAACCCCGCGAGCCGCCAAAAAACGCGAAGCTCGGAAGCTTTCGCGAAAGAAAAGGAAGGCGGGGCTCACGTCTCGACTTCGCCTTCTTCTGCGGAGTCTTCTCGAGGTTCTGCGGGTCCACGGGGTCCAAGGAGAACAAGGGCTCCCGGGAAGCTGTCTTACGCACCTGAAATCACTTCTCCGACCGAATGGCTGCTCGGTTTTGGGAACCCGTTGGCGAAAGGGACCATGTTCCCTTTTAAAGGGACCAGGTCCCGGGCAGGTTCCACGTGAAAGGGTAAGAGGGTAGTTCTCCTGGTGCGGCTGGTTGTTTGGTTGTTTCAGTGCCTTCTGTCATCTGCAAGAGGGTGCCGAAACACGACTCATTCAAACTTCACCTCTCTGCGCAACTTTTGAGAGCCCTCTTGTCCAAGCGCAGGTCTTGTGCTTTGCTCTTCAATGGGAAATTTGGCAAGACCAGGTGCAATTCAAAACTGTGATTGCAGCCAGATAGAAGAAGTCCTTAGGACCCCGTGCCACATATAGTACTCATAAATAAGATGCAAGCAGCCCAATCAAGCAACCAAAGAAACAAACAAGGTCAACAGAGCAAACAAGCAATCAGCAACAGAGCAATCAATCAACCGATGAGTCAAACCACCAGATAAGCAAACAAATAGAACTGACCAGCCAGACCGACCAACAAACAACAAGAAACAACAACGCAAGCTAGCAAGCAAGCAAACAAACAAGAAAACTGGCAAACACGCAATCAAAACAAAAGAAGAACCAAACAAGCCAGCCAGAAAGCAAGCAGCAAGCAAGCAAACAAACAAAGACGCAAACAAGGCAAACGAGTGCAAGCATGCAGGCAGGCAGGCAGGCAGGCAGGCAGGCAGGCAGGCAGGCAAGCAAGCAAGCAAGCAAGCAAGCAAGCAAAGCAAGCAAGCAAGCAAGCAAGCAAGCAGGCAAGAAACAAAACGAGCCACGCAAACAAACAAGCAACAGAACAAACAGACAGGCAGAAAGGCACACAGAGAGACAGAGAGACGGAGAGACAGAGAGACAGACAGACTGACAGCCGGACAACCGGACAGACAAAGACACAGACAGAAACAGGCAACCAACACACAAACAGCCAGGCAGCCAAGCAAGCAAGCAAAACCAAGAAGCCAATCAAACCAACATGCCGTGAGCACACGAAAGCAAACAAAACAAAGAACGGGCGTGGCAAACAGACAAACAAACAAACAAGCAAAACAATCAACAAACGAAACAAACAGACAAAAAAGACAAACAATCAACCAAACAAGTAAACAGGCAGTTTGACAACGAAACCAAACACCAACCCACACATGCAGGCACACAAGCAAACAAACAAACACCCGTAAGCCAGCGAAGCCGTTGAAGCAACAAACACGCGCACAAACTCACAAGCATACAGCCAAACAAGCAAACAGCAAGCCTTCAGGGCCAGCAACAAGTACTCCAAGTTCACGCCCGCTGCAGGCTCCAAGGTCGGTGCCACCTGCCGTGCCGAGTACTACATGCAAGAAGTATAAACCTAGATCTATGTGAGAGCATTGGTATTGTCAAGCTTAAATGTTGGTTTTGGAGGGGAAGGAGGATATACGTTGCTTAGTCAACATGCAAATGCATTTTTGCAGTCCCTTTCAGAATGCGAATGATTCAGACACGCAGGCACAGGCGTTTAGAGACATTTCAAAGTGAAGATTTGTGTCAAGCATGTGTGAATAACCTACTGCGCGTATCTGTCAGGAAGGCTGGGACATGTGTTCAGCATGGGGGGCGTGCAAATGTGCGACGGTCCGAACACGTTACATGGCTGGCTGCTATCGCTGGCACGGGTGTCGCTCTTCATGGCCCCCCTGTTGCTCACTGCAGTGGCGGCTCACTTTTTGCACCTCCAGCTCCAACATCGCAACTTTGTAGTGGAAGTCTACTGCGCGAAGGACACTGCCGCAGCTCCAGCTCAAAAATCGCACCTTTGTAGCAAGTCCTGTGCGCTACGCACACTGCCGCAGCTCCAGCTCGAAAATCGCACTTTTGTAGTGCAAGTCCTGTGTGCGAAGTACACTTCCACAGCGCCGGCTCAAAAATCACAGCTTTTTAGTACAAGTGCAGCAGGTGAAAAGCCAACTGCCTACTTGAAGGGGCCATGGGTGTTGCTCCACAATCTGAAAGGTATCGCTCCGGGTGTCGCTCCGGCGGCCGGATTCCTTCCGAAAGGCTGCCTACACACCGGCTAGCCCTAAACAGGGGTGCTGTTCATGGCCCCCCTGTCGCTTACTACATGTTTTTAAACATGTTGGTTCCGTGTGGGCGTGCGTGTGTGTGCAATCCTGCGTGTAGTTGTACCTTCGCTCTTGAAGATGCCTTATTTGCTGTGCGTCTGAACCCGCTTGACCTGGTCGCATGTCTCTCTCGTACGATTGATGGTCCAGCCACTAAACGGTTGCACTTACCTTAGGCAGCGTCAGGCAAGCATCGTTCAGCCCTGGCTGAATCGCTGGCCAAAAGCACCGAGTGGAGGGTCGGTTGATGTTGTTTGAGACTGGTGAGCTCAACTCAATCTTGGCTGCCAAATTCGGGGCGCCTCCGCGTTAAGCACCAACCGTTAAGACGTATTAGGAACCGTTGATCAACAAACAAGGAACATCGTGCGGATGCTTGGGCGCCTGGCCATCGCAGGTTCTTGCACCAATAGACCGGTGAATCCAATCCAAACTGTCTTCAGATCCCCTGCTGAAGGTTTAACTTGCAGTGGGAAACACAAACCACTAAACCCAACCTAGAGAACCGGACGGCTGGGAAGAGGCAAGCCACTATTTTCAGCCAAAAGCCAGAAAGGTTGCTGGGGAAGAGGGATCCAATTCGAACGAACAGCTGTTGGGGCTCATTGTCGAACATGGTTGAGGGTTAACTTTCCCCGCACAAAAACGAGCCAGAACAAAAAAAACGAGGCGCTGAAGGCAGTGTTTGCCCCTACATGGTATATAGCCTCCATCCCTGGACAGTAGCCTGTGATTTGGGTGTTTCTCAAAATTGGGGACCGATTCCTCCAGGTGCGGGTTTGCTGTTGGTTTTTGAGTGTCCACCAAATAGGTTGAAGTCCAAAGATCCGACCAAGCAGCCTAAGCTGTTTGGTTGACACTTTGTGGATATTGAAAATGTTGAAATGTTGTTTTTGGCACCCCACTTGATGTAAGACTCGTTACCCCATAGCACTCCGAGTCACACGTCTCCCGTCCCGCCGTCGCCTTCACGGTGCGTGAGGCTTCGTCCAAGACCAAAGCGCAGAGACCCCGCTCCGAGACCTCGCAGCCCAGGCGCGCGGCGAGGTCCCCGTTCTTCGGCACGCCTGGGGCTGCTTTTGTCTTTGTGTTGTTTTGGTTGCTCCATTTTTCCGTTTTTTTCTCTCTCTTTTTTTTTGGGGGGGGGGGGGGGTAATTATTTTTCTGTGTTTTTTTTCATGTTGTTTTGTTTGTTTTCGGAAGCCAAGGCTTCGGAAGCAAGGTCTTTGCCTTTGCGATAGCGCACATGTTCGACGCAGCGATTTATTGGGGGGAGGGGGAAAGAAGGAGAAGGCCCCAAAAACAAACAAGTCAATGCAAGGTCCTCCAGTAGAGGGTAGAATAAGGGTGCCAACTGTTTTCTGTAGTCGATTTTAGGGAACCCTCCCCTAAACAAGGGATTAAAAAGGGCACTACTGGGGGACCTAGGAAGGGCTTTAAGTTCAGGTGTCGTTTCGTTTGGATTGGAACCGCTTGGTCTCCCAATTTGGGGGAGGTTCTTAGGGCGCAACCCTGTTGGCTGCCCTGAACCCTGATGCAAGGGAACGAGGAGAGGGGGGGACCCTTAAGCATGGCACTTTTGGGGTGAATTCCTCAAGTGTCCAGTTCATCTCCAAGTCACCTCATTAAATGGTGGCTTCGCTGCTGGTTTCAAAAAGGGTACCCTCACCAAAAAAAGAATGCACAGCTAGAGCGGACATAACCAGAAGCAAAGTTCCCTGGCTTCGCCCCACGCAAAAGCCAAGTTTTTCGTGGACAGCGCAGGTGCTGATTGGCCAGGCCCCCAAATAGCTCCCTGACAGCCGGCTTTGAATGTTTCACTCGGCAAAATCCAGATGAAGCAATGCTATTTGCCAAAGAAGCGTGGCAACACGGGTAAGCAAAAGCAAGACAGTGGGAGGCGGCAGAATTCTCCGGCAGCAATGTTAGTAAGTACCTGGATAGCCAAGTTGCTGCCTTTTTCAATCACTGTTGCTGGTGTTGGGGGTAAAGTGCATGGGAACAAACAGGAACTGGCGATCCAGGTAGCCTCTTATAACAAAGCCGAGCTTTTACACTCCTGCAGTGTCCCCCTCACCCCAATCCGATTGGCTCTTTCCCTTACAAGCCGTCTGTACATGGGCGAACTTGGCACATCAAAGCAACCAAGCGCAGACACCCCAACCGGCCATCTCTGGACATTGGATCTCACAGTCGAAATGCATGTGCCGCAGGCTATGGCTTCAATCGGAAAATCATTTTCATCTTGGTTGCTGTTGACCCCCCTCTGCAAAAAGTGACTGACTTTTTGTAGGTCCAATGAATAATCCGTCCTGTTTCGACCAAATACGCTGAAGCTAAAGATCCAACTAAGTAGCCATAAAGTCGTGGTTGCCTAAATTATTATTAAAGACATAAAGTTGTGGTTACCTAAATTGCCAACAAAGTATTAAAGCTTTGTCATGCTTATCTGACCTAATTTGATCCAAGAACAGGACGAAAGCACACAATTTGCCCCAGCATCCTAGTTGCACGCTGGGTTTTCAGTTGTGACTGTCGAAGGTTTAGCCGGAAACCAACTGCAACGAGAAGAAACACAGTATGGGAAATCGCTGCAACGACTCTGCCATTAAACTGCACCTGCCAGCTAGTGGCCCATTGATGCTGCCTCAGAAGACCCCCAGAAGAAACGGAAGTCACATTGAAGCGTCTCAGGGGTCCCGAGCTCACACGAGTCATGCAAATGGCACTTGCAAAGGAACTAAGACGCAAGCAGTTAGGTTACGTTCAAAGAGAAGCCGTTGACCCGCCAATGCCTACCTGCCCCGAAAGTGCTGCAAAGAAACTGTCCATCTTCCAGCCAATGTCATACTCCTGGCGAGAATCGGACTTGCCCGCCCCCCGCCGCTCAAACAATTTCTGCGCTGGCGTCAACTGGCAGACCTCTCTTCTCCCATAGGGCATCTCCTGACTCCGAAAGAAACCCGAGCCTTGCTCTTTGCCTACTTGCATTCGGGAGCCTGCCTCCGGCAACATTTTCTCGCCTGCATGCCAAACACACTCTGAGAGACTCCTCAGGCCTCAAACGCGCGCAAATGAACAAACAAAAACACAAGCACAGCATATTTAACTGCAAGTGGCGCTCGAAGACTTCTGTGTGTTTGTGTGTGTGCCTCGGGCAATTCCAAGGGTATAAAGCATAAGCATCAAACACCACGAAGGACTACTTATACAGGGATCCTTACATTATACACCTGAACATTGCCTTGTAAATGGTGGTTTCCCTTTGTTTTGGTGTTGAAAAAGCAACATATGGTTGCAACATGGAGATCTGATAAGGAGCCCTGTTATATCCTGCGCATCCAGCTAAAGCTCCAGGACTGCAAGCCGGAGCCTCTTTGGCAATGACGCGCTCACTGCCTCCCAAAACAAAACTCTTTTTGACACAGGAAAAGAGTTAGAACCAACACCATGCTGCTGCTAATCATGCTACTGCTTTTGCTGCTGCTGGCCACAAACACACCCACCCACTCACACACACAGGCAACGCACAACAGTTCAAAGCAACGCGCCGGCCCAACGAGAAATTCTCGCCAAGGGTGACCCAGGTACATGTGCATGCCCTGCACCCAAAAGACGGCAGCTCTTTGGGGGTTGACCCATGTTTCGCACGGAGCCATAGGATTCAGCGGGTTCCGCGCCGATTCGCGGACACCCAACCCCCCTGAAAAAGAAAGAAAGAGAAAACACACCAAACAAAAAACAAAAACAAAAAACGGACTCGCTCTATGGGGGATTGACCCATGCTTCGCGCTCACCGCCGAGTTCGATCGGATCGCGCCGATCCGCGGTTCGCGCACGAACTCGGCGGAGTCCTTGCGGCTCCGGAGCTTCTTCTCGCCCTCCCATCCGGCGCGGCGATCCTCCTGGCCTGAGCCGAGCCCGCCGACCCGGCTGCGGCTCGCCCCGGCGCCCGATCTCGCCCCGGCTTCCGCTCGCCCGATCTCGCCCGGCTTGCTCCAGCGGGAGTCTCTGGTTTCCACACTCTCTGTGGTCGGTTTTCTGACTTGCCCAAGGTTATCTTTTCTCACTATGGAAGTGGCTTGGCCAAAAAAGTAATCAAACGGTGTGTTTGCCACTAAAATGGTCCGAACCCAAAAGGTGACAAAAGTCCATGGAGTGAGGACACTCATCCGAAGGATTTGGAGAAACAAAAGGCGATCACCTGTTGGAACCTTTACTAGTGGTTGCCAAAAAAAGCGAAACCAACGGTCAAAAGGTCGATCGATTCGCTTTGGGCAAGTGGAGAAGGGACACGCCCAAGTGAGTCGAAATCAAAACCGATCGGAAATTGAATCGTCTATCCAGAACCATGTAAAGAAATAACAACCACAAAAAGCGCTGCACCAACCACAAGTAGGAGTATCCCTTACTAACCTGCATCTACCCGGGTTGCGGTTCGTGTGATTCTTGAGGGGAGCCCCTTTGGGTCAAAATCAAAAAAATGAGGGGGGTCAAAAAAAAACGGGGAGCTTTTTGGCTTCCTTGAGGCCGAGCGGATCTATTTTTTGCGGGGGGGGGGGGGAGATGCGCCCGCCAAATGCGCCCGGCCCTCTGCATCAGGTGGCGCTGGGCATCCTCCACCAGGACCTGCGCCATGCACTCCGCGTGGACGCAGCTGCCCCGGCCTTCGCGACCCTCGTAGGCGAACTCCCCCACCGGCATGAGGCACCTGCGGCTTTCGTCCACAGAAACTTGGGGCGCGTCAGGGGGAACCCCCCAAACATCGACTCATTTTCTTCGGGGGCTCACCTTCCACATTCTTGCCTGGCATGCTTCTTTCTAGAAAACCTCCAGAAACCCGGGGAAAATGGCCAGTTTTTGAGAAGAACGATGGTTGAAAAGAATCGGAATTCTAGGGGTTGATTCATTGTCCATTCTTTTCAACCATCGTTCTTTTCAAAACCCGGTTCCGTTTCCTGAAAAGAAGGATCCCTGGAAGGAATACGGAAGGTACCCCTAGAAGAATTGGCGCTGGGTCAGGGGGAAACCCAAAAAATATGAAACGATGTTCTCCTTTTAAACTCATTTTTGGAGTGGATGGGCCAAACAAGGTAACCAAGCTTTCAAGCAAAATGTGCTACTCCGTGTGGTGTCCCTGCAAAGCAACGTAGAAGGGGCACCCTCAGAAAAGGGCCTCCAGTTTGCAACATCACAAAACCACCAGCAACACCACGCCAAGCAACCAAAGCAGTTGCCTGCACACCTCTTGGCAGGTGAGCAAGGGAGCGAGCAAGCAAGGCCAACCAAATATCGAAATTGATCAAAAGATCCCATGCATGAGGTGGCCATTGGGAACCAAAAAAGATTAGTTTCACCACATGGGAGGTGTAACCCGTGGTCATTTTGGAGCCGAAAGGAATATGGACCAACCCCCATATACCAGAGCAAGCTGGTCAGAAGTTGGCATCGAGCGTGCCTTTCAATTGGCAACTCGCCAACACCGGGCGTGAGCTGAGAAGCGGGGGAAGCCACGCTCCAAAGAACATGCATCCTGGGCATTTTTGCCCAGACAGCACAGGCGGCAATGCACTGTCCCAGGGTGAAAGCTAGGAAACCAAACCTTTCGTAAAAGAACCGGTTTCAAAGACCCCCCCAAGGTGCACAATGTGCAAAGCAGTTTTGTAGGCCTGCGTCTAGTCAGGTTGTGAAGCATTGGATTCGCCGGTGGTTTAGCAGTTTAGCAGCTTAGCATGTAACCGGCAGAGCTGTGTTGCATTTCGTTCGAGGGCACAACACGGATCTCCTTCTCAAAGAAGGCATGCCGAAAGCTGACTGCATTCAGTCTAGAACAAAAGGTGATCACCATGAGTACAATGGTTGCCAAATAGCACGAAAAACGCAAGAGGTCAAAAGGCCAATTCGCTTTGGACAACTGAGTGCACCAAACCAAACTTCGCAGAAACCGCTGGACCAAAAAAAATCCGCCCCGGTTCGACGCGCTCCATGCCTGGAGCACAGAGGAAGCTCCTCTCCATCAGAGTCCACCACAGTCTGCGCCCTTCGCTCCTGGGAGCTTAAAAAATGGTTGGTCACCACCAAAAATGATGGTTGGTCATTGACCCATTTTTGATTCGGGTCATGGAAACTTCAGAAGGGATTTCACGCCCACGGCAAACAAAATCTCGTCACAAACGCCCCCTTCGGAACCTTTGCAATCCTTTTGTCCCCCCCCTGTAGATACAATAATCTGAGATATCTGCGCTGATCTACCGACGGCTGGAAGTCCCAAAGCAATGCACCATGTTTTTCCTCTTTGCCCCTAGAATTCAAAAAGCCCCTTAGGACTAAAGAGCGAAAGGCTGGCCCAAAACCCGCTCAATGTTCTGTTTACGCGTCCTTGCACAAAGGGCGGGCCATCTAAAGTTTGGATCTCAAATCCGCAGCAAATGCGGCAAACGAGAGAGTGCGATATTCAGCGAAGTCGCTGTCCCCCAAAGTAGCTCACTTCGTTCCAGGTATTTACACGTTCTTCTAATCTTAGCCGTATGTGGCCAACATGGCTCTAAACAGTTGAGCATAGTTGCCCTCGTTTAAAAGCAGCATCTTGACTTCAGCGCACCCTCAAGAAGCAGACGCAAACACAACGTGAGACATGCAGCCCTTTCAGGGGCGGTTCCCACAGGATCCCAAATGCTGTCTTAGAGCCATCGCCTTCCAAAGAAAGCTGTCTGAAACAAGTAGGACATCACGGAAAGAAACTAAAACCAAAGAGCCTTCCATTGGCAAAACGAATCTAACACGTCATATCTACTCCCGCGATGCCTGGCCAAAGCGGAATCGCGTAGCTGAAATAAATTAAGCTGGTTGAAGCTAATCGCCGAGGACGGCAAGAGGACAAACCCAAACTGAATACCAAAACATGCAAAGAAACCCCTGCGACCTACCGCAACAGACTGACCAATTCGTACACAACTCTACGCAACACGAGCTGACGACTCGCGTGAGCTTTGCCACTCTTTCGATCGAAGTGTGGCTCCCTATAAAACCAACCTTCCTCCAAACAACTTGCAAGTCGGTTCTATCTATTTTAGAGTGTGTAGAGCAATGCCAAAGCTAACATTACCAGGTTTGGGTTTGGAAGCTATGGAGGTTCCCACCCCTTCAAGAAAATAGCTGGTCTTCTCTAGGTAAAAAGTCTGGGTGAAATAGGACCGATCCAACTACAGATTACGGAAGAGAGACTTTCTCGCAATCATTTCTGCGAAAGAAGCTGGCCGAGTTTCCTTAAGCATAGCTATGGCTGTACACTCTGCACACACTCCCTCGTGCCCGATCCCTCACCCCACCAGCCCACCGCCTGCTATACCCATACTGGTACCCCACAATCCCATTCTGATTGCTTGGGCTCTTATCTTTTTGATTGATGTTTAGTACATAAATATATATATATATATAGATATATATATATATCTCTCTCTTCCATTTGCTTACATTCTCTGGAAGAACAAAAACACACAAACACATACCATATTCCGCGTTGTGAAACGGTGAAATAGATTCCCGTGAGCCCAACACGGAAAAGCCATACTCATTTCATGCAAATGAAAGATATCTGGATGAGTTTAGTTGTTGATTGAATTCTTCATGCATTTATCTATGCAGCTACCTTCATTTGCTTAACCCTCCCTGAAAAAATGTTTCCAGTAGTGATAGATTCCCTTTAAACATCAACAGGGGAAATAGAACCTGGAGCCTCCATTGCTACCTTATTTTTTGCTACGATTTTTTTTTGCTCGTGACACGTTCTTCTCAAAAAAAACGCTCGTTTTAACAGAAAGTGCTCGAGACATCCGCGCAAATGCAATTTGCTACCTGCGATTCGTAGCATGTTTTGAATTTGCGCTCGTTTGCGCTTTTTTGCGCCGATTTGCGCTCGTTTTTGCACTTGTTTTGCACATGTTTGCGCCCGTTTTGGCGGCAACTTGACCATGGGGAAGAAGAAAACACGGCCGAATGGGATTTTTGCCCGAATCGTCAAAAAGCGCTCGGAAGCGAATGGGAGGCGAAAAGTGCTGCGTCGAGTCAATTTTGGTATCGAACAAGGGGGGAGGCAGAAATTTATGCTACGATGGAGGTTCCAGGAACTGACATAGTCCTGGAAACAAAAAGGATGTCCAGTGGTGGTAGGTTCCCTTTAATTTACAACAGGGGAGAAGAACACATATCCTTAAGCAAATGAAGGGACTTCATGTAAACCTTGATTGGTTTAGATGGCATTTGTCCTGGCAATTGAGTCACTCTCGATCTACAAAATTCTGCAATTCCGCCGCCCCTTGCACAAGCTCAGGGCGCCTTGCGGGGCTTGGGCGCCGCCAGCGCCGCCTCCAAGGCCTCCTTGGGCGCGGTGTACTTGGCCGCGTGGTTCACCGCCCAGGGGAAGGACTTCCGGTTGTAGCCCGGGTTGCCTGGCGCAACACGCAGTCTTGGGATGGCTTCCCGGCTTTCCCCGCAAAAACACCAGAACAGGGCAGAGGGCCTCTTAAAATGGCTTCCCCAAAAAACACACCAGAAACAAATAGTGCACGTCATTTTTTTGGGATGGCTTCCTCCCCGAAAAAAAACTCCATAAAGGGCCTCAACCAGCAAAATGTGAGCCATTCGTCCCAAAAATGAGTTGGTGGGATCATAGGTGGCCTTTTGGTAAAAAATAGATGGGTTTCCCCGCTAAATCTTACCCCTTAAAACTCCAAGCCCTGTGGAAGTTAATCTTGTACAAACATATAGCCCATGTTACCCAACAAGTTGAAAAGTTGTGTTTTTTTAAGAGGTAAGAAATGGAACGAAACCCATCTAAACCAGTGGAACCCGTCGATTTTAACCAAACTAACCTAAAAAGGACGCCCATGGTTGGGATGGCTTCCCCGGAGAAAAAAAGGGGAAACACAACACCAGTTAAAAAGGTAAGAAGGACCTCACCCAGCAAAAAGTTTGAGCCATCCGTCTTTCTGGGCCCCAACAAAAATGAGTTGGTTTCGCTTGGTGTCCCTGAGATGTGCCCAAGAAATGAGTTGGTATCCTTGTCTTTCCCTTAAACGGCAGCTGCTTGGGCACATTTGTCCCGTGCTTGAGAAAGAAGCTTGACCCAGTTGGGAGCCTGAAAATGGTCTTCGTTGGGAATAGGAAAATGGTGCGGAAGAGCCAACCACAACGACTCACGACCAAATCATGTCAGCTGTCCAGCTAAGCCAAGAACTGCCGAAGACTGCGTAAGGCGTTTGAAGCCAAATTCTAGCTCTTAGATCCGGTCTTGTTGCCAGTGCCGCGGTTCATTTACCAAAGAGCCCGTGTTTTACGGCCTTCTTTGCCCGTGCTCGTGTGCAACATCCTCACGGCTAGAATTGAACACCTGGGAATAAACATGAAGAAAGACTTCGCACACATGGCCCCTGATGGCGGAGGATGGACCCATCAACCGTTCAACAGGGGAGTCCAAATGGCGATTCTGGCAGCCAACATTTTAAGCATGGGCCGCCTAAAAAGTCAAACCCGTTGATGGTTTCCCGGGACTTCTCCCATGTGACGTCAAAGCTTCCATTGAATAAGCCGATGTGGAACTTACCCTCAAGCCCACCATTCCACTGTCTTTTTCGCCGCGTCTCTCCAGAAAAAGGGCGATCTCCATTGGAGAATTCCTCCCGGCTTCCCGAAACAGTTCCTCCTTGCACATCAACAAGGTATAAACCCATCGACTCAGCTGACGTTCTTTTGGCACGGCTTGGGAAAAACAAAGGAACATCGGCGGGAGGTCTGCAGATTTCTACCAGCTTCCCATGTTCCCACATGTCGTTACATAAAAGCAGAACCCATTTGCAAGGAACCTCCTTTTCAGTGACCTCTTGCTGCGGGGTTCCCACCAAAAGGAAACTCACTTTACAATGCGGGCACCTTCCGTTTGGAAAACAAAGGAAGTCCCCCTTTTGCGTGCCTTCGGTGCGATTCTCCCCGAACTTCTCCAAGTACTGCTTGAAGGCCTCTTTCTCCTCACCGGACACCTCCTTCTCCGGCACCTCTTTGGATCAGCTTCGGCTTTGGATTTGGTTGAGGAGGGGGGAACCCACCTATCCACAAGAACCATAGCTTCAAACGCGAGTCCAAACCACAATCCTGAAACGAAGTGCGGCTCTGCCCCAGAAGAAAAAACCAAACGGCACCCCGCTTTTACGTAGACTCGTCAGTGATTCGTCACTTTGCACCAAGACATGGCGTGGAGTAAGGCTGTCTCTCAAAAGACACGGCCCCCTTTCGTGGCTTTGGTTCATGCACCGCCAGGTGGTTGGCACCTGCACCTCCTGCTGCGGCGCCACCTCCTCAGCCACCTGAGTTGCTTCGTTTGGCTTTGCCAGGAGACCGCGTTGCCAGGGTCCCGGATTGATCAACCCCCGGTGGACTTTTCCAGCGGGGTGTCCATGGGTGCCCCTTTGGGGGGTTATCATTGTTTCCCTCTTTCTTTCTTTTCGTGTTCCTTTTGTTGTTTGTAGTTTGTGTTTTTTGGGGGGGGGCTTGTTCTATTAAGAGGATGGGTTCTACTTGGATTCGGGGTCTTTTGACCCACCAACATTCCAGCCATACGACGGCTACACCTGAACCCTCAGACTATCCTTGAAAATAGGAGTCCACCCCGTATTTTTTGGGGCAATCACACATTTTGCGTATATCTTGCGTGAATTCTGGGGGTCCAGGCAGTTTCTTTTAAAACCAAACACAAGCCAACCAGTTCGAAGAGGCACCTCTTCTCATAGATCAAGAGGGCACAAGATGTCAACTTGTTGGAATAGGGGGCCTTCTCTAGCCAGCAAGCCTTGAGTTGTCACCCCTGTCGGAGGGACGCTTTTCGTATGCCATCCAAATGGGAAACGCCCGCGTTGCCCTCGGATCCCGGGTTAAATGGACACTATTACCACTAAGCACAAAAAGGCTACAAAGCTCGGGAACCGGATGGCAGGGAGCCACTAAGAACTTCCCATCTCTCGGCTCCAATTTGGCTAGGTCCTCCAGTTTTGGAGCTTCGAATAAGTTGGTACCGACTTTTTCTTTGTTGTCTATTTTGGTAGGGGAACCCAAAACCCCAACCCAAAAAAAGGCAACGGTGAGAAAGGGCACCACTGCCTGGGGGACCTATAGTTGGCTTCCAAGAAAGAAACGCGAAGCGCGGCGCCAGCTGTCAGATGCTGTCAGCTCGGCGCCTCCGGCTTCTCCTCGAGCGCCTTGGTCGGCTGCTTGACCAGCAGCTCCTTGCCCTTCAAACTCACGGTGACCCAGCCGATGGCAGGGCCACTGCCTGTCACCAGCTCATAGCCTCAAAGCATCGAACCCAGCAAAATCTTCTTCGCCTTTCGGGCAAGCCTCTTCCTCTTTTTGCCTCTTCGCCCCCTGGGAAAAATGGAAAAACTAGGTCCAAATAGTGATAGAAATCCCTTTTGAACCAACAGGGGAAAATATTCTTGAACAAATGGGAGTCATTGAGTACCAAAATAGCACCACTTGTTGTACGGTCACATGTTCTACGGTCAGCACGGCTTTCACGAACAGTGGGCTGTGAAGAGAAGCGATATCCACTAGGCGATCTACAAGCCCTGGTTGCTATCTACTCTTACTAAGGCCACTGCTACTGCTGCCACCGGCCATCATGAACCATTCTAAACCTAGAGCTGCCATGCGCTAGAAGCATACCGAAAGTTGCGATTGAGGAGCCGGAAGTGCCAAAGTGCACTGCACTCAACACTTTGTAACCATCAGGGTGGCATGGCCCCTATGAAAAGCTCTAAGGGCGCAACAAAATACTAACACTTTTCGGGAGCTAGATGGCAATTATGTGCACAGTCTATTTATCACAAGGATTCCGTGGTAGGCACTCACTTGAACACTACGGTTGCCATGCTGCGGCAACTCATGCCTGTAAGACGCTGTCGCTATTGAAATTTGCATCTCGCAAGTTTGGTTCTGCGTCTCTGAAACTCATAAGTCCAGCGCATGACAAGACATCAACTGCGCAAAGGATATCGGCATCAAGGCCCCCCTGGACACCTGCCCGCGCTGAGGTGAACCTCAGACCTCTAGCTGTTCTGCTGCCCCTTGGGCTGGGAACCTCTGCAATGCATCGGAAGAGCCACAAATGCATCCCCTGCATGTCGTTTTGGCGAGGAGTTCCCACACACCAGTCAACATGTGTCAGGGGTTCTGACCTTGGGAGGCAACTGCATCCATTTGCATGTGGAACCCCTGGACAGAACGCATATGTCTGATGAACCCCTTCAAAACCAGGGAGACGCACCACACAGTTTCAAGACGCAAATCGATTTGCAAGTTAACCTTCCAGCTTTGGGACGCACATCCCCGGCAACTCTAATCCTCGCATTCTGTCATCATGACATCTTGGTTGACGTTGGAAGGGGGGCCAAAAAAACATTTTAGCAGTTGAGTGGTTGGATTTCAACCACTAAACCACAATAAGCAAAAATGTAAAATGACATCCCATCAACAACCATGTTAAGGGGACCCGTGGGGTCATTCCCTCGTTCCCTTTGCGTTTGGCTTCACTAGTGGTTAACCCCCAAAAGGGTTGCTCTAGGGCGGGTTCTCAGCAGGGAATGAGAAATGACATGGCATCCCCACATCCCCACTCCTTACCTTTATCCTACCACATCCTGGATGGTCCCCACATCCTACCAGGATGGTCCCCGCCCTTTGAAGCGAAAGGCAAAGGCGACCATCCTGGAAGTCCACCTCCTTAACCTTGGCACCTGCGCGGGCTTGGAACCCAAAAAAACGTCCAAGTCGTGGGTGCTGATCCCCCAGGAAAAAGTTGGATCCCCCCGCAAAAAGTAAAAGGACGTATGAGGGGAATCCGAAAAGTTAAAGTCTAAAGATCCAAGCCAATAGCGGTAGAGAAGTCCGCAGATCCAAGACATGCCATGTCTGACTTCCTGAGAAAAAAAACTGGCCAAAAACAGCACCCGAACTTTTGCTGCACTGCTAAAATTGTCTTCCCAAAAAGTTTGAAGTCCATGAACTCAGAAAGTGAGATGCGCAGTACCTGTTCGGGCCCCTTTCAAATGAAGGATGGCTTCGACATGCGCCACGCGCATAAACACATGCGGTGAAACCAGGGCCTGTGGAGAGGCGTGTTTCCTCCATGGGCGACGCAAGGTCCAAGTTCTTCCTCACGATGATGCCACCGCGATCGGCTCCGCCCACAACTTCCCACATGATGGCCATGGCGATTTGCGAAGGTCGGCACGGGCGGGTGGCAAATTAGCTTGGGCCGCGGCTGGGCATCGGGTACTTCAGTGGAGAATTGACCCGTCCATCTGAAGGTCAGGGCGGAAACCCCATGAAGAATCTAGACGTCAACAATCAACAACGTCCAAAAGTGCCAACTACTAATTTTTGCCAAACAACTTAGACTCTGCCACCACTCGTTGTAACAGGGGGCCTTATGCCCCAACATACATCCAACCGGTAGACCGAGCGCAGGCCATTTAAACCATGGAAGCAGGGCATGTCGTGCTTGTAAACAAAGACGCCATGTAGAGAGAGCAAGGAGCAAACCTGGCATGCTTTTGGAGCTCTGGCCATTTTGTTTTCTTGCAACAACTCTTTTGGACTTAAGCATTCGTTTTTGTGTTGACTCGGTTCAGTATGACGCGCAAACGCTGTAGGGGGCTTGATTGTGTTTTGTACTGGTTGTTTAGAAGGGAACCTATCAGTATTGGTCATATTTGTTCCAGGGGGCTCAAGCAAGTAGAAGTTTCCCATGCCTTTAAGACTGATTCCAAGGTGTGCTTCCAGACAACCTCCCGGTGTCCCTCATCTTCCACTTCGTGGAGAAGCAACATAACGCGAGCCCCAGCTGTACACATTCTTCTCTGGCACCCTTTCCGTCACCCTTTCCGCTGCTTCATGAAAGGGTGGTGATGCGAGCGCTGCCGCGCAGGAACTGCGGACATGCAATTCTTGCGACAGGCGCGCGCCAGAAACAGGATCTGGGTGCCCAGTTGCTGACAGTGCCAAAAGCGCTGAACACAGCAGCTATTCGATATGCAAACTTGTCCTCCGCCTTTGGCTTCGTATGACCCAAGGCTTAAACAACAAATCTGGGCATCTGCTTCAGCAGTTCGCCACACATTCTCACGAGTGCCAACAGAAAATGCTCTGGAATATCAACACCTGGGGCAGACGACGCGGTTTCAGCCTAAGACTGAACACAAACAGGCAATCAATCCACTAGAATCTGCAGAATTTTCGCACATCCATCATCCGAAGGTAATTGACATCTTATTTTCCCAAAACAGCCAGGTTTATCACTTCCCGAGTGGATTGGCCAAAAACACCCCCAAAACTTAATACTTGCCACTGACATGGTCCAACCCCCAAACGTTTCAAGTTCAGGAACTCAGGGTGCGAGGTTTACAGAAACCTTCGACATTTCTCGCGAGAGAGAGCAGGCAACGCTGGAGTCCCATGGACGCAGCCATGGAGGCATAGAACATTGAGAACCAGCAATTAATCAACTGGGCTGCCCTCAAATCTTCCCAAAGTTTCACTTTTAGTGGGTTAAATGGAAACTACCACTAAACACAAAAGGCTAACAAGCTAAGGGGATGACTGGGAGCCACCAAGTCAACTGATTCACACAAAAAAGGACCCCCCGCCCAGGCCCCCTGAGATTCACGTGATCCTGAATCCTTTTTTGCAGTCGACAAGCCGGTCCAGCCCCTCGCCCGCCTGGAAGGAAGACTAAGATTGCACCTGGGCAACTCGACTCCACTCACCCTTCGGTGAGCAGGTCTGCAATTTGTTGCAAGGGATTTCTGAATGAATGATCTGAAAGTTGTCGTAATTGGCAGGACGCATTCATTATAAGGCCCCCCCAAGCGGGATTCCTTCTCCTCTTGCAGGGTCATGTGTCGTGTCGGATGAGAGAGAGGGCCTTGCTCGCCCGAAATTTTGCAGCAAGATGCTGAATTGGTCAAAGAAATCATCCAAAAGGTTGGGGAAGGCAGTCGGGATCCAATGTCGGAATCATGTTGTGTATGTGAGGCTCTGTGCCAACTCCTGTCTCCCAAGGCCACTGATCCCTGAGGGCAAGTGATAGGACATGCAGGCCCATGTCTTGGTTGAAGTTGACCCCTCTGCAAAAAGTAAATGCGTTGTTGCGGGTCCAATTCGGAAAAGTCCCACCTGCTCAACCAACAAAGTGTCCAAAGATCCGCTACCAAATGGCCATAAAGTGATCCCCCAGGTGACAAACCCGGAATATGAAATGGGGTACATAAACATGAGTCAACAGCGCCTGGCTGATTGATGGGGTACATGCAAATGGATGACTCCCCCATGTTTGCGCCGCTCCGGCGAGCGGATTGCTATGGGTCATGGACCACTGGTTCAATCGCCCATTCCATTTACCACGGGTCCCGTTTTGGGGTTACCCACGATTTTTGACCCACCCATCTACCCGTTTTCCGATTTTCACCACTCATATTTGCCCGTTTGAAACCATTTACCCTACATCAATTTGCTTAAGTCCCCTGCATTTTGTTTTAAAAACAACAGTAGTGATAGATTCCCAACAGGGGAAAATAACATAAATATTCTTAAGCAAGAGACGCCTTTGATGGAGGTTTCAAGGCAAACCGATTTCTTGGTCCGCATGGAAGCCTCCTGTTGGACTTCGGCTCGTTTTTCTGGATTTGGACCCACTAAATGGCTCCGGTTTTCCGGTTGTCCCTACAAACAATCAAAACGGTGGCCCCTCAAAAAAAGACGAACTCCCCCATATGTAGCTGTGGAAAACAGCAAACCTATGTTTTTCCCTTTCCAAGGGATTAGGCAGGGAAAAACGAGACTCTCGTTTTCATGCGTTGTGTAAATATTGTTTTGCAATGGTACCTGGATAACAAAAAATGGTACGAGGAACTCATCCTGCAGCCTGAGCATTCATAACCCGCTGATTGGTTTTGATCAGATATTCCTTTCGAGTGCCTGGGAGTTGCGATGATATTGGCCATCCTCCAAGCCCGTATCCAGATTCTGACCGCTAAGCTTGCCACGCTTTAAGGTTTTCTTTCTTTCTATTGGTTCTTCCAAAACGAAAACGGAGCTTCTAAACCTGGCAAGGATTACAACCCACACCACAAAATGAGGATGCGATAACGGATGCTGTCTCGTTTCATCCGAGACGACAAGGTCCACATGACGGCATCCATTGGGATGCCCCCTTGAAATTTGGAGCTTCATCATCCTCACCCCGGGGGAACCCACTTTGTGACTGCAGACTTCAACCCAGGGTGGTTCATGACCCCAAGACATTGGAACCATTGGAACTGGGTTTGGGCTGTTCTTGGGGTGAAAAAAATTGGGACCCCCGCGGAGACCAGGCCGCGGTAATGTGTCACTGAGATTCCGATTGACCACCTGACCTCCAAGCGAATTCCAAGGCTCCCAGCGATTCCGGGTGTTCACCGAACGGTCCACAAAGAAAGCACGCCATAGCTGCGGACGGACGAAATCCTGCACTGCCTCAAAACAACCATGGTTTCTGCCGACCCCCCTGCAAATACCAACAAGTACCGGTTTCCCATGGCGTCATTTCGTGGTGCGACGCGGACTTCGATTTCAACCGTCCACAGTACCGGCCACGTCGGCGCACCTCCGCAAGCTCCTCCTTCAGGTTCATATTTGCCTGGAAGGCGACAGTATCCAGTGCCGCCTTTTCTTCACCCGTGCTGCCTCAACAAGTGAAAAGGTGAATCACCGCAAAAACTTGGCACGTGAACATATCAAAAGATCCAACGCGGCCGATTTGGAAAGATTTGAAAAACAACAGATGTGGCAGGCCACCCAGAGTTGGTCCCTACCAGTTCTGAGCAGTTTCCACTGGACGCAGACCCAGTTGGTAGCCGAAGGGAGTACCTAACAGTGCATCAAAAGCGCGGTGGGCATGTCATCTGCTGGTGTTCCCGAGAAGATGCAACGCACATGTCTAGGGGTTGTCTAGGAATTTCCAAAAAAGCAATATCAATTCTAGGGGTTGATTTCCAAAACATTCAGCCAGGAATCTCCCAAAACAATTTTCGGACAATTCTAGGGGTTGAGTCCCTTTCCATTCTTTTTAACCATCGTTCTTTCCAAGAACCGGAGCCGTTTTTCCTGGGTTTCCGGAGGTTTTCTAGAAAGGTCCGGATCCCTGGAAAGAGTGGAATTGGAAGGTACCCCTAGAACTCGAGCGGGTGGGCTTATCATTCTTGGTGGCGGTGTACCCCTCCCAACGGCAAGCACCTGAGTGGGTGTGAATATTATGTTAGCGGCGGTGTACCCCTGACCTTCGAAAGAACTCGAGCGGGTAGACATTTTGGGATGACCCATGTCATACGTGCATGTTGGATGACGGGCTCCTGTTTGGCGCTGCAACTTCGCTTTTGGCAGAAGGCTGCTTCGTCCTGATTGGTGGCCAGGCATAATCTGCAAACCTTGCGGGAGGAAGTCTAAACAACGTTCGAGGGCTTTGCAGTCCTTCATCCGCTGGCCCCCGTGTATCACAAGCAGGAGTGTCGTAAATTAGCACAGCGCAGCACCGTGTTTTCTCGCATTGCGCGTGCTTTCGCAACGTGAAGCGAAGGACTTTCGGTCCTTGACATAACCCGACATCCCAACCATGCTTTGATTGCAATGTTTACTCCTCTCGCATAGCCGGCCGTTCCGTGGGCCAACTCAAACAGCCTTTTGTCATGGTTTTGCACCTCGGCACTTCTCATCCAAAGCAAAATGCCAGCAAGTATACAAATGCGAAAGCCCAAAGTAAGAAAAACGTAAGGGCCTACACGGTAAAAACGGCTTTTGCCAGGGCAAATTAATCAATCAAATTTTGCAATGGTTGCAAGGGGTGATCTTGCCGGTTGCCAATGCAGCCGCGAGCTATGCTTTGGACATGTGACTGAGTCGCTCAGTCACGCCGTCTGCCACTTTTTCAGTTCCCATTGCAACTGGCCCAGCGCTGCCTGTTTTCTGTGCAAGCTGTATAGGCGCGCTTTGAAATTCGGCCGATTTCATAAAAATTGGAAGCCTCGCATGGATGTGATGAAAGCAAGGAGGTTCAGCTTCTGACACTTGAGCGTGTCGTTGTTTTAGAATTTGGACCCCCCTAACATGGCGCTGTTCCTTCCGGGTTTCCCTTTTAAAACCAAAAAACAACATGAGTACCCTTCAAAAACAACATACCCAATTGGCGCTTTGCCTGCGCGAGCCGCAAAAATATTTAAGAAAAGCCGGCT